ATAAGCCTTGTGCCCTTTCTCTGTACAGGGGTGAATTTCACCCCGACAGAACCAAGTGAGAATTTTCAACAAGCAATTAATTCCCCTTCCTCCCTGAAGTAAGCACATAACGGTCATACAAACTGTTTTATCAGTGAGTGGCAAGGCAAACAAAGGAAGTAAGGTCAAGACGAGATCACAAAAGGCATTCAGATGAGGCATGAGGGATTGAAAATTTTATTACAATCTAAAGCAAAGCAAGCCCTTATCATTCAAGGTTCTCTCAGTCCTTTGAAAACAAACTGGGTGTGTGTGCTTATTTATCAAGGCTGATCACTGTTATCACTGATATGTTTTTTTACTCTTCCTTTTATTATAAATGTAAGAGGCTCATGAACATTTTTACCTTAGAAAAAGGGGTTGCCAACCTGAAAAGACAGAGAAACCTTGATCTAAATTATTCATGCAGGGTGAAGTTGACCTATGGCAGAGGAATAGCAAATCCCACCAAAGCCCTCTGCTCTCTCCACAGGGGTATACTTCACCCATATGCTTTACCTGAATACTCGCTTTCAGATTCACTCCTTGCCGGTTGGCATACGTCTGTATTTGAGAGGAAAACTGTAAATAGGCAGGAATTACTCTGGGTGCATTTCATCTTTATTAAATCATCTGTGAGCCATTTGGTTTAACTTTTGAGAAATCCGTTTAATGTAACAAGCAAATTAAAATGGCACGGTTGTTTCAACAGTTGTTAGCACTTGAAATAGAAGATTAAAAAAATAAAATAAAACAAATACGGATGTCACAAGTAATTACAGCAATTCTTTTTTTTGGCAAGACCATTTTTTTAAAATGTCAAACGTTTTTCTCAAATAAATACAATCTGATCACACTGAAAACATAGTAAACATAACAATACAACAGCTTTAAAATGAAAAAAAAAATGCATCCATTGATGACATCAAGTTTTTAGAACTGTCCACAGAGAGAAACTTCAGAAAGTACTTTTAGTGGCAACAAAACAAGTTAATAAAAAGGATCTGGTCATATATTTTCCATTCTCTTACATTTATATTTCATAAATATTCAATCAGTAAATGTGTTTAGGTATTTGAGGCAGCAGTGACAACTAAGTGGCATATTAGAGTGTATGCAGTCAATTGCATTTACAGTTTGATTATTCACTTTAAATGTGCCTGCTCTTCGCATCATTTCATATGTATTTAAGAATCAAATGATTTCCTCTACATTTAGGCTCAATTTTGTTACCACTAGACTTTCCATTATAATCAGTAATTTTCCTCCTGACTTTCAATATGTTTTAAATATTGAAGTACTGCAAATCAATTTTCAGTCCTGTATTTAAACGTGAAAATTATTTGGCAACTGCCTGACTCAAATATCCTACATCTCTCTTGTTAAAATGAATGTTAACTGAAGCAGATGTTAAGTTTTCCCCATACCCCACACATGAGTTATTGAGATTTTCTTCCCATCCTCTTCGTCTACAAGACTGCAATTTAAATGCAAATTCTGGGTGCTACCAAAGTTCACAGTAGTGTGTATAGAGTTTGCCACTGCTCTACAGGATGCTGAAATGAACTGCAGTTCATCTATGTTTACGTTCATTATTTAGTGTAAATTCAAAAGAGCAATTCATCACTGTTTTTAAATGATATACTCATATAGTAATGCAGGTAGGTCTCATAGCAAACACCTCAATTCACTGCACAAAGGATTTTCTTTCACAATAAAACAGACCTGAACTAATCTGACTTCATCTTCATTTGGTCCCCAATTCAGGGGCGCTTCCCTGTTCAGGAATGTTCTTAAGTACCTGCTTAATGTCCATTGAAGTCAACAGGATTTAAACACACGCTTAAATGTTTTCCTGAATCAGGGCCAAAGAGCCAATCCCGATATGTGTAAAGTGTCCTCAACTTCCACTGAACTCGATGGCAATTGAGAGGACACAGCACTTAGCAGGTTCAGGTCTTGTGTCACCTGATCCCAAGCCCTGAAGACATTAGAAGTCCAGTGGCTTCAGTAAGCTTGGATCAGGCCCTTAGCTCCTAACATTTCTATGCAATTGAAATGAAAAATATCACTATAATATGCTAACAGCTAGTTTAGTGGAAAGGCTGTTAATAATAATGCGATGCACAACTATATCCCCAAACCTTCTTTAAAAATAGATGCACGCAGTACACAGAGTGACGCAGATTTCCATATCTGAGTCCTTCTGGTATTAAAACCTGTAGAAGCCAGGTCTGTTGATAAAAAGGATTTACTAGGATAATACCACTCTGGAATCATTTCTCCACTCACCCCCCCTTTTTTTTTTGGTTTGGTTTTTTTGTTGTTGTTTTTGTTTTGCAAAGTGGTAATTATTTTTTTCTTCACAAAGAGCCATTTTTAAACAACTCACTCTTTGCTTATAATAGATTTATCACTTTAATAATAATAATAATCATTAATAATGATCATGAAGAAACTAACTCCACAGGGAAAAGGAAAAAAAATGCTTTCTAGCCACCAGTTGGCCATTTATTCTAGATTTGCTCAGATTCCATGTAATGGAAAACATCACATTCTAGAAATAATGGGCCACACCTTCCACTGATGTAAATGGACATAGTTCCATTGATTTTAATGGACTTAAATCCATTTACACTGGATGAGGACCTGGCCCAGTACGTACTTGTAGAACTTAAGCAATCGACTGTAGCTACTTTCTTAGTGCATTGATAGTGAGGGAAACTCATGAAAATGTGGCACCTGATGTCTGCATCAACACATCCAATTATTCCCATGCACAATGGACAAAGTGGTACATTGCTGAAATCACTGGGAACTGTGCACATCCTGTCTGCCAGAGACTAAAGTGTTCTAGGCAAGGTTTAATATACTTCAGTGGGCTCTGTATAGGGCAAGGGGCATTCTTGCATGTGTGAGCTTGCAGTAGGGTGATCAGATAGCAAGTGTGACAAATCGGGACACTTTTTTTTCTGGGGGTGGGGAGGCAGTATAGTTGCATATATAAGACAAAGCTAATATCGGGACATCTGGTCACCTTAGTTTGCAGGATAAGGGTCTATGATTGTTGCAACCCAACCTGTTCCGCTTAAGGGAGGGAGTATAGGCAAAACATTCAGGTCAAGGCAAAGATATACTGGACTCAAGGCCCAAGAAATCAGGGAGGCATCCATTGAGCCCTACTGAAACACTTGATTGAATTAAATAGAAAATGGAAAAATGATATAAAAATAGTCTACCTTTTTTTCTCCTCTTGTGGCTGCTGGGTATCACCCCTAATCTACTGCTGTGATACACCCAAGCCATATGTCTCTAATTCTCATGTTATTTCTGACCAGGCCCAACCTAGGAATTTCTCCGGAACAATTTGTTCTCGCAAGATTTCCAGCCTTGTTCCTTAGCTGAGGGGCTGCACGAGAATCTAAGAACCACTGTTATTCCATATGGATCCAGACTGAACTGATGAGGCCTGATACCACTGCAATGAAGTCAAGGGAAGGAATTTTATTCATTGCAGCTGTATCAGGCCGATGTTCCCCTGGGACAAGACACTGAAGATACGTTAAATACACATTAGTGAGCAGCAAAGTAGCAAAATATAAGCAGTGATGCTTTTTTTTAATGTTCTAATTAAAAACATTTAAAAAATACCTAGGGTTTTCCCAGTATGATGCATTTAAATAATGTGAGATACATTTTTAACAAAGAACCTTATCAGCACCAGTTTCCTTAATGCAAAACCCTCATTAGACAGCGAAATACTGGAAGAAAACAAGATTTTTTTTCTGAGATTCCTGACACCTGAAACTCAAATGTGAGATCAGATAACAATTGCCAAAATACTTTCCCAAACATCTAAAAATATACTTTTATAAGAAGAGAATGTTTTAACCATTTTTCCCTTCTCAAACAGAACATTTTTTTTTTTAAATACTAACTCTATGCAAAGATCAATTACTACAATATTCAACAGTCTATGCATACAGGTTTTGTTCCATACCTATTACGTGCTACTGTCAAAACAAATTCCTGAAACGCTGCTTAACAATGGTCAAATCTGGATAGCTTTTCACCATATTGCATATGTTACCCAACCTCTTGCAAGCCTGCAGCACAAAACAGTAAGTTATCAATGGAATTTAAATATACAGTGAAACCCAAATTATTTTTGGTTTGATTGTCTGTTTATTCATTTAATTAAATAAACTACTTTGCGAGTTTGTGGTAAGTAAGCATGGAGGAAAACAAGCAATAAACACTCTTCAGAATGTCTGTACACAGATAAAAATAGTTTAAATTATAATTAAAATAAAAAAAGTGACAGCAATATAACTGCACAGATACTGAGGCAGTTTCTTTCTGTCATCACATAAGTTATCTCCCTGACTTTTCAGTATACATCCCTGGTATAATAATGCATTTATTGATGTTCTACTATGTATTACATATACTGTAAATGTACAAATAATAGACTATAGTTATGGTCATATTGCACAAGTTGAGTTGTTTATTGACTTAAATTCTGTACAGAATCTGCTGTATATTCCTTGGCAAGGTCCACATCATATACTAGTTAAAATTGTTCTAGACCAAGCTGAGCTTAAAACCCTTAAGATTTTCTCTTGCTGTTGCCACATGGGCAAAATTCCCATTGAAGCTGGTGGGCCTTTTACCTGCATCACATATGAAAGATTAGGCTCTCTTATTTTAGGTCACTGTGATATACTGAATGAGTCGCCAAATCCCAAACCCACTGAAGTCAATGGGAATTCTGCTACTGACAGGCCTAGCATTTAACAGGATTATTCCTCCCTCCCCCCCAAAACAAAACAAAACAAAACAAAACCCTGGACATTTATATGGATAACAAGAATATTCTGAATTATGGCCAGGAAAACAACTCTATTCAGGACAGTGCTTAACTCCCATTTACTTCAATATAAGTATGTGCTTTAGTGTTTTCCTGAACTGGGGCCTAAAATAGTAAATATTTTAACAAAATAGCTTTGGAACCCTCATGCTTCAGGGCATAAGTCAACCTCATACTATTGTGGGTCAGGAAGGAAGTTTCCTGGAGGCAGGTTATCCTATAACTGCCCATTGCAGGCTTTCTTGCATCTTTTCCTCAAGCAGCTGACACTGGCCACTGTCAAAGAGAGGATGCTGGACTAAAAGGACCATTCGGTCGGATCTACTATGGCAGTTCCTCATGACTTTAATGGGATTGAGATTTTAGCTCAATATGAAACAAATCACCTCATAAGTAACAGCTTCTTGGGTTCAGTGTGTTGCTTTTTTCATCACAGTGTATCCTTTCTCAGCTCTGCTTTCTATGTGTTACAAACGGCACTTAAAATGTAAAGAAAACAAAGGTGAAAAACAAAAAGAAACAAAATCCCCCACAAAAACAACAACCCCCCCACCTTAAATCTGAATTATTAGCATATCCTTTTGACTTCATCATTATCCTTGATGAAGGCTGATTACTGTAGAACATCACTAGGGCTGTGAGAAATATTCACAAAGGGGTGAAATTCACCTCTGTATAGAGAAATCAGGAGAAGGCCCATGCCTCATATAAAACCCTGTTGTGAGGTCTTAAACAGGATTTGAGTGATGCATAGGATTTTATCCTGGTCCTCTGCATAGTGGTGAATTTCAGCCAAGAAAATCAGAAAACCTTCACATTTGGAGTACTCTTTTCATTTCCATTTAGCAAAATTGCTCCAGTTCTTCACTGAAAAATGATCCTATTTTTCATGTGAGAACTTTAGCTCTGACAGCTTTGACGTTCAAAATTGTGTTCTGATGCAGATCAGCGTCATGTGCTTCTGTCTATTTTAAGCATCTGCAACCTACCCACCTGTGTAATATGTAGGCATTTAATACGGTAATGAAAAGGAATAGTTTGATGCTGGTCTATAATTGGAATAGAGAACTCCCTTCCTCCTGGAGATGAGACAGGTTATCTTATGGAACACACTGAGTGTAGCTATTTTGGGGGAACACGAAACTGCTATTTAGCAAAATTTGGGAGTAATGGGGAAGGTGCCAACATAGCCCAGAACAAAATTGCAAATGTTTGTTCTGCAAAATTTTGCAAATGAAAAAGACTCAAAATTCACAATTTTCACAGTCCTAGTTGTCACTAACATGGTGCAGAAGGTGGTGTTGTCTGAGTTCAGTTCAAGATGAAAAATATATCCAGGCTATGTAGCCTTAGATAACAGAGACATTTCCTGCAGTGCAGAAGCCTGGACATATAGTTATATTCTTCCATCAATTAAGCCCTTTCTTATATTCGCCTAGTTTTACATATGAGAACTTTTTGCACAAATGCGACTCTATAGGTGATATGCTAGAATGTTTTTGTGAACGAGTCACCTAAAATGTTATGAATATTTTTTCCACTGTCATTAAACACAAGAAATAAGAGACATTCTCCAATGCTTAGAAAGGCCATTTTTTGTTTGTTTGTAAGTTTAGCTTTGCCTATTCTTGTAGTAAGGTCTCTCGCCAGTTAAAGCCTCCAGTTGGTCCGTGTGTGAGAGGGAGGATGGGGGGGTCTGTTAGTTGCCAAATGCCTGTCTCTCCCAATTCTTCACAGGAACAGAACCCCAAGTATGGAATCTGTCAGGAAATATTAAAATACAGAAAAGCAATGAGAAGGAATAGATCTGGAGCAAGGGTGAAGTTTTCAAAAGAGCCAAGTCAATGGGACTTGTGTTCCTAACTATTTGGGCCCCTTTGAACATTCCACCTCAAATTCAGAAGATACTTTTAATCTGAGACACAGCAGGATTCAGGAGTAACACTCAGACTCGAGCTGGGTGAATTTTTTCAGACTTAATAGTTTATTTTCTGTAAAATGCAGTGTTGGATTGACCTAAAAATGCATGGATTTGGGTAAAATGCAACAAATAGTTTTGGTCCACCCCTCCAAAAGAGGAGGAAAAGTTTTTTGAAAAATTCATCAACATGTTGCCTTTTTGTTTCGAAAGAATGTTTCATTTTGAAAGTTAGGTAAATGCATTTTTTAAAAAAACAAAAAAGGGTAAAAAAAATTCTCAAAACAAATACAAAAAGATATTTTGTTTCAGGCTGAACTAAATACTTTGTTCGATGCGAAAAGAAATAAAAATAAAAATTTTTGGTTTTTCATTTTGGCAAGAAAAACTGAAAATTTTTCATTTCAAGTTGATCTGAACCACCAGGTTGAAAAATCAGTTATTTGTATATCTCTAATTCAGACGTGCTTTTTAAAGCACTTCACTGTGAATATAAAATATTTGAGGGCCAGACTCCAACTTTACAGTCTCCACTAAATAACGTACAGCACCTAGCTATGTGTGTGCTTATGTCCAGGTCTTGTGGGCTGGCTTAACAGTATAAAGGGTCAGTACAGCTATGGGAGAGTGACCTGGATTCGATTCTGGCTCATTTATCAACACGGGTCAGCTTGTGTAATAAAACGTTGTGATATGAGAAAAAGAAAGAGCGCAGATGGATTTCCAGCTGCCTGGTTGTGTTTGCAGGCTTGGCACACAGACAACACTATCTCCTAACATGAAGCCAAGGAAAAGGAATAACTCTGGATGCCCACAATGACATTTTTCAAATCACTTTCCTAACTATAACAAGGTGCATAAGAAGGGGGACCATAAGGTGCCATCACCCCAAAAGCATAAAAGTGCAGTTGAGACATGCAGCCCCTTTGTATGCTCACTCCCCTTTTATCTGTTGTGAAAGGGACTGGTAAGATAAGCCTCTTAAACCAATCTTCTCTACTCACATGATTTCTGAAGCCTGCATAGCTCAAACAATGGACTGAATTATCAGACACTAGGAACAAAGTCTCCTCTGGCTTGTAAGGAGATTTAATTTTTTTTATCTGAAGAGCTTTACCCATTGGTAATTACCTTTCTGACCATCTGTACAAAGTCCTTGGAATTCTGAGGTGAGAGGCCCTGGAGTTGACAAGTACAGGCCTCGAGAGATGATGCGTGAGCCACTATCAAAATGTTATTTCCTGCAACAAAATGAATAAACACTGATTGTTTGGGATTCAGGGAAAAAAAGCTCGATGTGACAACTGTCCAAGGCAAAACCTATCAGTTTGAGGTTCTTAAAGAATGGGTTTAATTGTATACAGAACAACACAGTTGATATATGTGGGAAACTATTGTTTATGAATAATACTTCTAGCACTTTTTAATCTTCAAAGTGCTTATGGCTAGAACTGATTGAAAATTCTTTGTCCCCGCTTGTTGTTTTTTGGGCAACCAATAGCTTTGTGAAGAATACAAGAATTTTGGTGAAAAGATTTTGCCTGCTTTGAAATTTTTGATTTTTCAAATGATACAAAATATTTGTTTCGATTTGTTTTGTGGAAAAAAAAAATCTCAGCAAAAGTTTTTTTTTTTTTTTTTTTTTCAATTAAAATAAAATGTTTCATTTCATTTGAAAGTTCTCATGGAAAATACCTATACTTTTCAGTCAGCCCTACTTCTGGACAACATTTTCAAATCCAGGTTGCTTAAAGTTTATTTAATCACCTAAATAAAATTGCCCTGATTAACAGCGGTGCTAACACCCTCATTGATTTCAGTGTGAGCATTTCTGAAAATCAAGCCACTTTCATTCACATGGATAGGGATGGTTTTGGGAGCTAATCTTAGGCACCCAAGTTTGAATATAATGGCCTATATTCCTAATTCAAACTGGAAATAAGGCACAGGGTTTTTTGTAAGTGAGGATAATTAACCATTGGAACAGTTTACTAATGGATATGGTTGATTCTCTGTGACTTGAAGCCTTTAAGGCCTGGTCTACACTAAGTCGGCATAACTTAGGGTATGTCTACACTTGCAGAGTTTTTGCACTGTAAATTTCACTGGTGGTAGGGAACTGGTGAAAGTAAAGCGCTGGTTTGTGTACTCACTTAATTCCTCAGGTGTCAGAGAGGGTTTACATTAGCAGCACTTCCATCCCGGATGAGAGCAGTGCTCTAGGTTAGCTATCCCACAGTGCAGCTCTCTCCAGTTTGATGATGGGTCTTGCGGGAAGGTGGGAAAGGGGGTGATCATGGGGCATCTTGGGTCCCTGCACAGCCTCCTCTCCCCAAACACTGATCAGCTCCAGTAGCTCAGCATTGCTCCAAGCGGGGGATCGTTTTGGAGCAGGCATTGTCACCTGACCAGATAAGTGAGCAATTGCCAAGAAAATAGGAAGGGGAGTTTCAGAGTTCCCGGGGCTTTACAGGGGGAGGAGTGGATGTCTGTTTACCTGGCATCAGAGCAGCAGAGCTGCTGGCTAGAGTGGTCACCTGGGCACTGTGGGATAGCCTCCGGAGGCTAAAAGCTGTGTAAACAGGAACAACGTGTCTTCACTTGCACATCACCGCAAAAGCATCACCGGTAAGAGCTGTACGCCTCTCGTGGAGGTGGTTTTCTTTTTGCGATGAAACTTCTGAGTTTCAAGGCAAAAAGTCATTTGGCAAGTGTAGACGCTCTCATGGTTTTTGCACAAAAAAGGGACTTTTCCTGCTTTAAATGGCAAGTGTAGACATGCCCTAAGTCTTGTGAAAAATCCACCCCCCTGAGCGGTATAGTTAAACCAATCTAAGTCTCCATGTAGCCAGCGCTAGGTGAATGGAAGAATTCTTCCGTTGACCTAGCTACTGCATCTTGGGGAGGTGGATAACCTCTGCTGATGGAGAATCCCTCCCGTTGGAATAGGTAGTGTGTACACTGAAGAGCTAGAGTGGCACAGCTGTGCTGATGGAGCATTTTAAGTGTAGACAAACCCTCAGCTACAATTGGCTGGCTTTCTAAAAGATATGTACCAGTTTAATCACAAGTTATTAGACTTGATGCGGGAATCGGTGAGTGAAATTCTCTGGTTTGTGTTATGCAGGAGGTCAGTCGAGATGATCACAATCATGATCCCTTCCGGCTTTAAAATCTACAAATCTGAATATAATCTGGGGCTCAAATCTGCAAATCCTTATACTGAGCATAGTGCTTGCTACACTGAGTAATACCATTATTTTAACAGTACTGCATTTGACTGAAAGCACTTCTAGGATCAGACCTTTAGCGTTAAAAGTGGGGTTTTATTGTTTTTTCCCCCCCTAAATTCAAATTTGGCCATGTCAATGCTGACCATTGGTTTTTCAGTTCTTAAGTGTTAGCCAGAGTGTATTTTATTTTAGAATGATTTTTTTTAACTCAACATACGACTAGTTGTAAAATTCTCAAAGAAATTCATGAGAACGACTGAAAAATGTTGGAAAGAGCAGAAATTGTTTTGGGTTCACCTATCTTAACAGAAATTCTATTCAGTAGCAGAGCTAGTAGAAACATTTTCATGCTGGTTTTTTTCCTCACAAAATTCCAGATTTTCAAAAATGCTCAACCAGCTCTATTTGATAGAATAACTTCACTGAATCAAACATGTTGAAAGAAAACAATGCTATAGTAATCCAAGAATCATACCCAATTCTTTCCATCTTCTAAAAGTACTTTATAAACATTAGCTCATTATGCCTCAGATATCCATGTGAGACGTGTATTACCCTCATAACGCAAGAACTAGGGGTCACCAAATGAAATTAATAGGCAGCAGGTTTAAAATAAACAAAGGAAGTATTTTTTCACACAGCGCACAGTCAACCTGTGGAACTCCTTGCCAGAGGATGTTGTGAAGGCCAAGACTATAATAGGGTTCAAAAAAGAACTTGATACGTTCATGGAGGATAGGTCCATCAATTGCTATTAGCCGGGATGGGCAGGTGTCCCTAGCCTCTGTTTGCCAGAATCTGGGAATGGGCAACAGGAGATGGATCACTTGATGATTACCTGTTCTATTCATTCCCTCTGAAGCACATGGCATTGGCCACTGTCAGAAGACAGGATAGTGGGCTAGTTGGACCTTTGGTCTGACCCAGTATGGCTGTTCTTATTTAACAGATGGAGAAACAGGCAGAGAGGTTAAGGCCAAGATTTTCAAACATGACTAGTGATTCTGAGTGTCTCAGTTTGTGAGTGTCCAACTTGAGGTATCTTAAAGGATCTTGATTTTCAGAAAGCCTTCAATACATACCCTCTGAAAATCAGGTCCCTTTAAGGAGACTCAAGTTGGGCATGCATAAATTGTCAGTCTCTTTAGAGGCCAATGTTTTCACTCTGGGTTCTTCTACCTGCTTTTTGGGGCAAATTATTTCTGAAAAACCTTGGGAAAGGATCAGTCAAAAAAAAAAAACAAAAAAACAAATAAATCAGCTGGGGTTCTAGAAATATCCCATCCCAATGCTATTAATGTTCAGTTTCTATGCACCATAATTGATTTCAACATTTTATTTGAAAAAAAATTCTGGTTTTGTTCAGATGCAAAACAAGCCACTGCAGTAGTGATGACCAGCCTAAGACATCCATGCTAGGACATGCAAAGACTCTCCTTCTGGCCGTGGTGGTGGAGATGGGAGGGAGGAAATGGCCTGGAGTGGAGTTGTTTCATGGCCAGAGAAGATAGGGGAAACCTGCACAGCTTGCATAGGTTGTAGGGCCCCTAAAACAATAGGGTCTCAAGTGACCACTGGTTCTGGGTATGGACAAACCTGGTAATAACAGACAATAGAATATTTTACCTAGAAGTGAACCTGAACTACACAGTTTCACCCAGGTCTTGAATCCCCAATGTCTGTGGGCTGAGAGGATGCAGACATGGGGTTTTGACAGAGACAGTGACTAGCCAGTGTTGTTCAGTTCCAGAGTGCCTATCTGTGGTTTTTGATCACTATTGAGGCATTAGATCCCTTTGTACCAAGGTGCAGAACCGCTTACCTTTGCCTTTGCATTCACTTATGATTTCTTTCGTTACTTGATAGCTTCTACTTATGTATGTGTCGTAAGACTCTGAAACCACTAACTTGCTGACTGGTATATGAGGTCTATGGGCAGAAAAACAAACACAGTAAGTTTTGAGGCGGAGAGATTTTAAATGCAAGTTACTTAGACCCTGTACACACTGACTGAAAACATGCGTGCGAATGCCCATGTGTTAAACAAGAAATCCCTGTTGTTTCTCTAATTCTTCTAAATAACTCAAACCCCTAGACCTTGTCATTTGTGTAAGGAGCATTTCCATAGGTTATCAGTGGGTTTTGAACCCTGGGCTTTAAGCACCCAAGTACAGACCTCCATCTCTTGAGCTAAAGGAGTAATTCCATTAGCTGGCAGCAGTAGTAAACTGTTACCCTCTATGTACACCAATCACTAGAGATGGAAAGCAGCATACTTATACAAGCATGTTACACTTGCAGTCATGTGTAATAGTAATAATAACAACACTTTGCACTTCAATAGGTCCTTTGATCAGAGAATCTCAAAGCAATTAATTAAATTCCCCAGCACCCACGTGAAGTTTGTGAGTGATATTGCCCCTGTTTTAGAGGTGGGTAAAATGAAACAGAGACTGTGTCTTTACTGAGTTATTTCTTCAAATTTCCCACCAGTACGGCTCTGCCAGTGGTAGCAACGGAGGGAACTCTAGTATAGATGAGGCGCTGGTGTTATTAATCACGGTGTTGTTTAGACCTGCTCAGAGCAGGACCAGATGAAGTGGTGGTAAAAACACCAGGGGCTGCTGCTGCCTGAGAAAAGTATGGTACTGCACTTGTGGGAAATGTTTAAGACCAGCTCAGTGCAACAAGGCCAGAGTGGTTAAGTCACTTGCCCAGTGTGAGTTTGGCCAATGAATTCAATGGGAGTGGTATTGGAGGCAAGCCATTGGAGGAGCTTGGGGTGGGGGAACAGAAGGCCCTATTCCTCTCCGTGGGACACAAGGAAAAGCTCTGTCTCCTCATTCCATCCCAGGATATGATGAAACTCCCATCAGTGTCAGAGGGAATTACTCATCTCCGACAGCAGGAGACTAGGGCTCCAGGCGTTCACCCAGACCGCTAGTTTAACCATCAGACCACACAAGAACAGGTTTCCTTTTTGGCTAGGAGAACATACTTTATAGTCTTCCCAGAAGCTTTGTGTTTCCTGAACTGGCTATTTTCCTGTGGTCCAGCTGCTTTGCTTAGTGCTAGCAATGTGATGATACCCTTTCTGGAATAAGTGCAGTGTAAGTATCTCTATTTAGGTGCAATATGCACCAGGACTATATATTTCCACAGACCCGAAAAGGTAATTTGTAGGCAGGGAGGACAAAATATAAGCAGCTATATGGTATAATTAGGCATGAAAGGATTGAAAGGGTGTTTTTTTTTTGCTTTGGTTGCTTATTTCTACTCGGTCATCTTAAAATAGAGTAGTGAGGGTGTAATAGAAGGATTCAGGGTTTCTGATGATATCACAAGCCACAAAAAGCAGCTGCAAAATAAGTTGTCACCAAACCCCCATGTGTTGGAATTTCCTGTGTTACATTATTTATAAGGAGGGAATGATTTTATCTGAGACCTTTTAGTTTGCATTGAAGATCCTTCCCTTCTCTCCAAAACAGATGGTTTACTGTTGATGAGAATTCACAATAATCCTGAGATTTCACCAATGTGACTGACTGCTGACCAGGACCACATGCCCTTTCCCTAGAATCTATTGCCGTATGGGATTTTTCAGAAGCTGTTTAGCATAAAAGAATCATAGATTTGGAAGCGGGGAAAACCCAGCAGGTCATCTTGTCTATTCCTTAATTCCTTGCACGATATGTGGGACTGTTCCTACCAAGCTGTTTTATTTAGCCTCTCTGTATGCCTTGCAGCTGTTTACAACACAGGCAGGCACTGTGCATGCGTCAGCATCCTTACATTTCAAGCAGCAACTCCCTTGGTGCAAGGTGGAGCTGTGGTTAGCGATTGCTGAGAACTTGAGGCTAAATGCAATGGTATTCGACAGCAGAAGCTGCTGACATCAAAGGGGTTTTATAGAGTTTTAAAAGAGCTGGCTGAGGAGCTCACGGGGCCATCAACTGTTGATTTTTCAACAAGTCTTGGAGCACGGGGGAAGTTCCAGAAGACTGAAGAAAAATGCATGTTGTGCCAATTTTGTCAGTTTCCTCGGATGAGAAATGATCAGAAACTTTCCATCAAAATGTTAATTTGAGGGGAAAATGGTTTTTCAATTAAATGAAAATTTTAATGAAAACATTTCTGGTTTCATCAGTAATTTCTGAGTTTTTGCTGAAAACCCCAATACTAAAATATTTTCAGTCTGGCAACCGAAACATTTTAAACTGAAAATGTTCAGCTTTTGGTTGCTGAAAAGTAGAAACAATGTTTATTTTCAGGCTTTTAGACGAAAATCTCAAAAATTCTGATGAAAACAATTAAAAAAAAAAACCAGTTGAAATTTTTCACTGGGTGGGGAGACAAAACCCTCATTCCACCTCTCATGAAGAATACTTCACTCAGGGGAGCATTTGTGAGGATTCTGCAGTTAATGTCTGAGATCCTCTGATGGAAGGCACAACGATCAGTGCTTACTATTAAGCAGTATTAACCTCTCAGCTGTATTTTGTATACGTACAGATAAAAAAAGGAAACTGGAATTGGCTTTAAAGACTCGTCTCCTGTTACTTACAGGAGAGGGTCATGAGGGAAAAGAGCCTTCTCTGTTAGGAGTTTCATTTGCAATAATATTGAAAGTTTAAAAAAACATGTGTGTTCTGCATTTGTTCCAGTGACATTTAATGCTCACTTTAGGGAATGTGAGCCTTTTGGAAGGGAAACTGAAGACTTATATGGGCACTTCGTACCTGGAAATGTCAAATGTGGGTCACTGCAGGAGCTTCTCATGTTGATTAACCATTAACTTACTATTCTTGTGGACTTTGGCTGCCTTCCCAGCCATAATGAAATAGTAGCCCAGGAAGGAAGGACAAACACCAGAGGAAAATTGAACATTAAGGGCCAGACCTTCCGCTAGTGTCAGTTGGTATAGCTCCTGGAGCTATGCTGATTTACACCAGCTGAGGGCCTGGCCCTAAAATGGAGGCATCATAGAGGTGGACAAAGGCAGGAGTCTTGGGACCAGAATCCTGTGGAGAGATGGCTAGGACGAAAGAGTGAGTGATTGGTGCTAGCTGGCTGCTGGCTGAATAGGGCTGGGCTACCTGAGTTGGGAAGATGATGATGGCACTAGGAGTGGAAAGAGGACAAGTGTCTGTCCCAAGGATGCCTTGAAATTATTGCTGGATGCTAACATGTGCCTCAGCAAGTTGCCAAGTGTATAATTAAGGGCAATGCAATCCGATACCCAAATCCATATCCAAGATTTGCATCAGTGGGGTAGCTGGGTGTGACTGAAGTCATGAGTTAGCCCAGGCTATAAATGTCCACCACAGAGAACTGACTCAGCTCAACTAGCTCTTTAATTACCTTTTGAAGCAGAGATAAGCTGGACTGTAGAGTTCAGATCCAGAGCCCAAATCCCAAAGTTTTGAAATGTGGTTAAAAAATAAATAAATCCTGGCCCATGAAATGCCCCACTTTGCATGGCTCAGCTGCACTAAGGGGGCATATAGGATTCCACAGGAATGGGGGAACCCTAGCTCAGGGGGCACAGTTTATCAAGGACATATCTAGAGAGCAGCAATTCTCTGGTGAGCCCTGGCTTCTAGGGCACCATTACTAGCTAGTGCAAATTAGAGCAGACCTGGGCCTGCTCTAATTTAGGCTGGGAACTCAATAAGCTCCCAGCAGCCCCAGGGACAATACAAAGGAGTACAAAGGTGGCCGACAGCTCAGCCAGAGCTTAGGTTTGGGTCCCTGGTGTTTCGCTCCTTCTCTCCGATGCATTAAATTCAAGATTATTCATTGCTAAGGAAACTCTGTTGGAGTGACATGCCAAGTTCTGCTACCTGTAGGTTGTATCAACACACAGACTGGCTGCAGCTAAATCCACTGCGGGTATCCAGGCAGGTAATGTGGTACCAGAGACCCATTTTGTCCACTCAAATAAGCCCGGCTCAACTCGAATCTTTAGGTTATTTTCCTGTTGCAAACCTGAAAGAAAAAAAAAGCAGGGGAGTGGAAATCCCTGGAAGCAGCAGGTGGGACTGGGAACAAGAGGATTTAGGATTGGGTTTTTTTGTGTGTGTGGTATTTTGATTAGAAATCAACAAGTTCTTCTACTGGTTGGGAGACAGGGCCAGATGTGCACAACTCCAGTATTTGCTTGTGCATGTAGCCAGTTAACCAGATATATGAATGGCAGGTATGTGTATGTGTCACGTAGATGCACAGAACTAAAGAAGTGCCCCTAATCTAGACATAACTCTGTATTTTGTATGGAGCCCTCTTTGGACTGTACGTTCCAGATCAAGAGCCGATAAGCATGCTGATGATTCTGAAGAGAAGACGATGGCAGCTCCATGCACACCTTACGCTACCCTTGCCCAAGGGAGCTAACATGTTAGCCTTTGCTTCCCAGTCCATCTGGTCTGATGTCTGCATCAGCATGTTGACTGGTAAAAGAAATTAGTATTGGCTAACAGCTGCAGAACCAGCAGGGGGAGCTCACACTTTCCTTACATCACAGAGTGTTTGCATTGGGAAGGTGAAGTTAAAAAGGACATACTGAACACTAAACTTATACATACAGCGTCCCACACAAAAGATTTAAAAATCATGTGTTTTGGCACCTGGAAATGGGTAATAGCCCATCCCACCTCTCTACAGGCTCGCATATCTACTACAAAGGCAGTGTTAATATTATCGTAGCACCGAGAGACCAGCGTGGTAGGCACTTGTTCAAACACATAACAAAGAGACAGACCCTGCCCTGAAGAGTTCACAATCTAAGCAATATGCCCCCAATCTCAGGCTTGCCCACAGCACTCATGCACAATCTATGCCTACTAAGAGTGTAATCAAGGGAAGGCAACTATTTGCTGAGGGCTTTGCTTTGTTGAAAAGCATACACCCATGAATATTCCCCTCGACCCCTGTCCCCCAGGAATATGCCCTGTAATACTCTATATGCTGCCATGTACTCAATAGCTCACACATGATCTAGGGCACTGGCTCTCAACCTTTCCCGACTACTGTAACCCTTTCAGGCGTCTGATTTGTCTCAAGTATGCCCGAATTTCACCTCACTTAAAAACTACTTGCTCACAAAATCAGACCTAAAAATACAAAAGTGTCACAGCACATTCTTATTGAAAATTTGCTTACTTTCTCATTTTTACCATATAATTATAAAATAAATCAATTTGAATATAAATATTGTACTTAAATTTCAGTTCAGTTAAATTAAACTTAAATTTCAGTTCAGTATATGGAACTGTAAAACCCAGGACTGACTTTGCTAGAGCTTTTTATGTTGCCTGTTGTAAAACTAGGCAAATATCTAGATGAGCTGATGTATCCCGGGGAAGGTCTCTGTGTACCCCCAGGGGTACGTATACGTCTGGTTGAGAACCACTGATCTAGAGCATTGGAATCTGTTAGACTGAGAATGAATGTAATGTTAATCGGCGCTTGGACACAGGAACTGCCATATGAAACAGGCCCTTTATCCATCTAGCTGGTATCCTGATGCAGTAGAAGCCTCATGTTGTGCCTGACTTTTACAGTACAGTGCTATGCAATGGAGGAGAGGAAAGAAAATCCATTTCCTGCCTCAGCTGGCAGTGGCTTCATGCCCAAAGCATGAGGATCAGTGTCCCTTGTAACTTAACCTGTATAGCACGGGGAAGAGACGTGCTATTTTTGAGGCCGTTCATTAAACAAATGGGTTTTCCATTGCCGGCTTCCCCAGAAAACAGGAAAAATCCAGACTCTCCCCTTGTCTGCTTCTTACCTTTCAGAATATTGTGCGCTGTCTGTACGCAGCGCAGCGACGGGGAACAGTAGACATGTTCAATAACAGTGTTACTTTCCAGCAAGGCTTCACCTGCAAGCAAAAGTTTAGCATCACTGATACAAACGTTACAGTAGACATCACAATAATTGCAGCATGCATGCTTCAATGTAGTTGTAACATAGCAGGGAGCGAATGAAGTTCTCCAGTTGGATTAGTTATTTTTTTGTAGACCTATTTATCCATCAGATTTTATTTCAGTAGTATACTATGCTTTGAGGCATAGACAGCTGTGAAATTGTGATACCTTTTTCTGTGCACTGTCCTTTTCGATTTCTAAGAACTCAGTCAGTGTACAGAGAGATGGCAGCCATTTTGCGTTCAGAATGGCTGTAGCCTGTTTTAGGACAGACACAGCAACACTGTGTTCTCTCCTGGAGACTTGATTCTTATTTGTTCTTGGAGATTTCTCTATTTTAGATTGCCATCTTACACTAAAAACATAGATTTGCTCTTTGTGCATGGGAAAAATATAACAGGCCTGAGTCTCATTTCATTTATACTCATGTAAATCAGGAATAACTCCACTTAACTCAGTAGTCCTGAGCCTCATCTGGTGTAAATTACCATGGCTCCATGGTCTAATTTAGTTAACCAGGTGTAAAACCAGTGCAAGTAAGATGAGAATCAGGCCTAACATTATGATTATTTATACTACAGTAGTGCCTCAGGGACCCAAATGAAATTGGGAATCCATTGTGCAAGATGCTGTACATGTACATTCACATAGTAAGAAATGGTCCCTACCCTATGAAAAGCTTACAATTTGAATAGACGGGGCAGACAAAGGGAGGGAGAATACAAGGGTTATTAATCTTGTTAAATGTTTAATTATAATTGTACGTATGTTTAACTGGCTTTTGAACCTTTGGGGAAAGTGGGGTGTGCAGCTGTCGGAGATGCTGTGCATGAAAATCTTTCGCCGCTGGATTCTGAGCTGCTGTTCTACTAACCAGGTCAGAGGACTGTTTGAAATGATAGTTCTGGGATTCTTCAAGGTCACGCTAGCATTTGTGCAGAACAGAGCTTTCGCCTGTAGATGGCAGGCATGCTGTAACAGTGCTAAAAAGCTCTTTTATGTAGGGCAGTGTGGATCATGTATACATTTCACACACCCAGACCCCAATGAATGGTGCCAGCAAAGTGTTCTCATTGCTTCCAATCTAGCCCTTCCGTTGTGTGTATTATAAGCACAAGTTTTACTGACCTTCCTTGAGAACTGCCCCTGCAGTCTGGCCATACTATTATTACATCCGGATCCAGTTTTATTAAAGGCCTACGGTTTTCAAAATGTGCAGTAATCTTGGGTGCCCAACATAAGAGGCCTGATGTTCAGAAAGTGCTCTGAAAATCAGATCCTTAAAGGAGTCTGAAGTTGTGCAAACCAAAATCTGGAACATTTTCAGGGGTTGTTCCTGAACTCAGCAAATAACTTACTCTCTATAAAAGTTGAGTGGTAGAAGGCTACGTATTCCCCTAATGAAACAGGCCAAGAACAGAATGGGGGAGATGCCTGATTTGACTTGAACTATACTTGACAGTGTAAATATGAAACCCCACTGGGGAGACAAAACCATGTTTGTGTTGCAAACTACAGATCAAAAATTAAGCTTGTCAAAATCAAGTCAGGAACATACTTTGCATACAGCAACTGTCATGTTAACTGCAGTACTTTTATGACCGTCATTATCAACAATCTTCCACAGTGTGGCAAATTTACAGGGCACTTTTATGTGCTATGCAGCTGCACGTCTAATGGCTTTGATTTTGTGCATTGTTCTTCCTGCTGCAATGGCAGCTGAGTGGGGCCAGGCTGACTTTAAAGGAAGTTCTTTTCTAGTTACATTGAAGAAACTTTTTGAAGGCTCTCAACATGTCTAAACTCTTTTAGCTCCTGGCACCTGATTGAATTTTTCTGTATTGCACTTGCTCTTTCTTTTCTGGCACGTGTGGGAGGAGATATAAATGCTTCTTGTGCAAACTATTGTCTCAGCCGACGGGAGCTTACCAACAAGTCTTGCTTGTGTGCAGCCAAACACGGTAATTGGTGCATCTTTTTCATAATCCCTGAAACCACCACTTCTTTGAGGTAAGCTGTGAGGCATATTCAGATTTGTACGCATATACCTTCCTGTTAGGGGAAAGTTTAGAAGCAGGTGCTGGAATTAGTGGATGACTGAGAAAAGCACTCAGTATCATGCCTATTACAACCTTTCATTCACAACGGCTTGCACACGACAGATGTTAACCAGAACTGGGCGGGAAAGGGTTTTCACGTTGTGGGAGCCCTTGTCAGAATTCAAAATGTTTCCTGTTCCGAATCAGGAGGAAATTTCATGAAAATGTTCAGGATTTCCATGGCAATCTGAGAACAATTTCAGTTCGGGCCAATTTAAATGTTTCATTTTGATCATTTCAAAATGTTCGATTTTATTTTGGACCTTTTAAAATTTTAATATTTTTAACTATACTTAGCTTAATTTTCTACATGAAAAGTAATTTGAAACCAAAAATTGGGATGATTTTTTTGTTTCAATGGGAATGGGAGGTTTTGACATTTTCACGTTTTTTCGAAAGGTGAAGCTGACCCTTTCCCGCAAACAGGGTTGGTTTCAATGAATCAACATGTTCTGATGAAAAAAAAAATCATTGAAAAAATTCCAACCAGCTCAAGTACTAACTATGCCTGGAATTACTATGGATAACTTATTATTATCGGAAATACTAAGGCTTTGTCTGTATTGGGGAGTCACCCCAATTTTAGCCATCAGTCACCACCTAATGGCATTGCTGCAAATCCTAGTGTAGACAAGGCAAACCGTTCCAAGCCATGATTTGCTCTCGTGCCATTTACTCTGGTTTCAATTAGGATTAAGAATTACCAGTGCAAAGAGTGGCTTTGCCTGTCTGCACTAAGGTCTGGTCTACGCTTGGGGGGGAGGAGAGGGCGAGCTAAGTCGGTCTAAGTTACTCAACTTCAGCTAAGAAAATAGCGTAGCTGAAGTCGACGTACTTAGAACTATTTACCATGGTGTCTTCACTGTGGTAGGTCAACTGCTGATGCTTCCCCATCGACTCCGCCTACGCTTCTCGCTCTGGTGGAGGACCGGAGTCGACGGCAGAGTGCTCGGCGGTCGATTTATCGCGTCTTCTCTAGACACGATAAATCGACCCCCGCTAGATCAATTGCTCCAGAGGTAAGTGTAGACATGCCCAAAGAGTTTGCATTGGGCCCCAATGGCTGGATTGCCAACGGGTAGAATCAGGACAAATCCCTGGTGTAGGAATGGCTTGAATTTACAAATAAGAATGATTGCGGAGAGGTTTTGTTGTTTCAGTGACATCTTTTATTCAGATGATTTCCCACCCCAACTGCAGGGCAGACCAATGTGGTCAAGCATAGTATCCATCCACCACATCCCCACCCCAGCTTGGTAGTTTGCAGTGGCTGCAGCCACAGATTAATATGGATGTGGATGGGCTAGATCCACTGAGTGCCTAACCCCACTATGATACAACCCTACTTAATCAAAGGCCTAATTCAAGATTGCAGAGAAGGAGCAGTTCTGTTGGTATTTCACACTGTCCCTTTCCTAACCACTTCAGAGTGCTGTCAGAATGGTATCTCAATCAGCCTCCCCCGATGAGTTACATTCCAGCGGAGTTTGCCCAGGAGACAATCCATTTAAACTTTTCTTGTGCGGTTATTACCCCTACTCTACCCCAAAAGCTAGGGAGTAACCGATCCTGCAGCAACTGACTCACCTTTGGCATCAAAACACTGGGACAACCAGTACTTTCCAAACACAACATCCATTCTCTCCCCATGCCGGCAGACAAAAAGACATCGTTTTTGAAGCCCTGGCTGGCTGGTTACTCTCAGGGGCTGAAAGCAAAATGACAGGAAGTTTGGCCATGGTGAGAATCCAAGTGCCTTTTTCTTAGTTCCAATTTATTTAAGAGTGAGGACCTGACTCTTGACTTAATCCTAGTACGAACAAGGGGCACTGGTCACTCCACTGAAGTAAATCATTTATACCAGTATAAATGTGGTGTACATGAAAGAAGCATCCTTGCTGCATAGGTATTCTGGGGACAGATGTTATCTTCGGAGCTTGTGATCTGTCATGTCACCTTAAAGCCAGCAGAGGATTGTAACCTGAGCTCCCCAGCACAGCCAGTCGAATCAGCTGTAAAGAATGAGCTGTTGGTGTGAAACTAGCTGCTGGAGATTTGCCATTAAAACCATGCAGAACCTGTTCACCTGGGTTTACTTTAACAGTACTTGATGTACCCCAAGTGGGACTAGATTCCAGTGCCAAGTATAGGGAGCGAGTTTCACTAGCACAGTGAAAGCTTCAGGATTCTTAAGTTTCATTACTCCGGCAAGAAGAGAGCAGACAGGCGGAATGGGAAGATGGTGTAATGGTGTGTGCGGATACTACAAACCAATCGCAGAAATGGTCAATCTAACGTTTAGGCCCCTGTGGTCTTGACAGGGCGACCCTTTAGCTACTGGTGGGGTGGGGGGGTGCTTCTGAATAGTTTAAAATAAACTTATTGCTGCATTGGCATCTTTGGAGAGAGACACATATTTCACCCACACAACAGGCAGAGGTAGTGCAACCATCTCCCACATTACCATGTGTGTCTCCTTCCTCACCACCTCCACAGCTCAGTTTCTGCCCCCTCCCCCACCGCCTCCCCATCCCATTCAGTTCTTGGCGTTTCTGTCAACACTGGTGGCAGCTTTGTGACATGGAAAGCTGTCCACTGGGAGCAGGACCAAAAGCAGCTCATTCAAGATACGCCACCAAACAGCCATCTGAGTCTAAGGGCTCGTCTTAGAAGCCAGCAAGCTGGAGCATATATTTATAGCGCTGCAGCATGCTGCACACTAAATGTCTGTGTGGACCCTTCTGCTGAGCACTAAGGGTATGTCTACACTGCTGTTAGACACTGGCAGCTGGCCTGGGCCAGCTGTCTCGGGCTCAGGTAAGGGGGTTGTTTACTTGTGCTGTAGACATTCAGGATCGGGCCCCAGCCTGAACTCTGGGACCCTCCCATCTCAGAGGGTCCTAGAGCCCGGGCTCCAGCCCAAGCCTGAATGTCTACACCACAGTTAAACAGCCCCTCAGCCCGAGCCCTGCGTCAGCTAGCACAGGCCAGCCTCAGGTTTTTAAATGCAGTGTAGACATACCCGTGTGCTAATGGCTTTCCAGCACTAGGCTAGATTCCAATTGGCAGCCTAGCAGCAAATTACTCCCTAGTCTGTTACCAGTCCTTAGGCCACCGAGTCCTTGTGGGCAAGCCCACCTACATTTTGAAATAGGCTGTAATTCCTGCCAACTCGCCTCCAGGACCACCCTACTTTAATCTGAGTTCCCAAACTCAGAGTGGCGAAGAAGTCTGAGGGGTATGGCTAGATCAGGGAAGGGCAAACTATGGCCTACGGGCCAGATCCGGCCCATCAGAGCTTTCAGTCCGGCCTGTGGGATTGCCACCCCCATGGTGCAGTGGGGCTAAGGTTCCCTGCCTGCCCTGGCCCCGCGCCACTCCCGGAAACGGTCAGCACCACATCCCTACAGCCCCTGGGGGTTGGGTAGGGAGCAGAGGGCTCCATGCGCTGCCCTCACCTGCAGCCACTGCCCCCACCTGCAGGCACCACCACTCACAGCTCCCATTGGCTGGGAACAGGGAACCGCAGCCAATGGGAGCTTCTGGGGTGGTACTTGCAGGCGGGGGCAGCGTGTGGTGGAGCCAGCTGCCCCACCCCACCCCCAGGAGCCGCTGCTGGACATGCTGGCCACTTCTGGGAGCAGCACAGGGCCAGGGCAGGCAGGGAGCCTGCCTTAGCCCCTCTGCGCACTGCTGCCACCCTGGAGCCGCTTGAGGTAAGCGGCACTGGGATGAACCCCTCCTGGACCCCACATCCCAACCCCCTTCCTTGACCCCTCTGCTGTACCCCTCCTGCACTCTGCACCCCATTTTGCACCCTAACCCCCTGCCCTGCACCCCCTCCTGCACCTCAACCCCTAACCCTGAGCCCCTTCCTGCACACTGCACCCCCACCCACACCCCGCATTCCCTTCTGCACCCCAACCGTCTGCCCCAGCCCTACATTCATGGCCCTGCATACAATTTCCCCACCCAGATGTGGCTCTCGGGCCAAAAAGTTTGCCCACCCCAAGCTAGATGGAAAGTGGAGAGGTCCTGAAACTATTTGCTGCCGTTAAATGAGGTCACAATATGGAAAAGGTTGAGAGAACCACTGCCTTAGTCCTTAACGTTCATTGAGCCAGAAACTCCTCAGTTGCAAGGGATGTAAAGCTGATATGACGGGGATGTTCCCTATTTCTAAATGTTAATTTAAATAATATAAAGAGGTCTACCCAAGGCTCTAGGTGCCGTAATTAAAAATCACTAATTAATATAACCAATTACTAATTAGCATTTATACTGATTGTATTACTAGTTTATATTACAACAATTCAGTTGTATTTAGTTGTGTTGTTCACAGTGTCATGAATCCTTACGTGCATTGTCTGGCAGATGATAGTGAGTGGCCCTGTGTCCCCAGGTCCTTGATCTTCTTGCTGTCTTCTTTCCAGAGCTCCATCATTGAAGGTTAGAGGGGATGGGGAAGAACTGGTACTCAGAATCGAGTAAGATCTGCCACAAATAAAGAGACACTTGCTTAGAAAATGTTCCTTTGACTTATTGTCCTCAGAGTTGTGCTGGGATGTGCCCAGAGCCTGAGAGAGGGCAAGAAGTGGTTTTATTATTATTTGTATTCCAGTATGTGCTCAGTGTTGTACATGCACAGAGTAAAGGACAGCCCCAAAGAACTCTACAGTTCATTAGAGACAGGGTTTCTTAACCCATGAGTCATCACCCCAAACTGGGTCAACAGAACGTGCACAAGGGCTGCGTGGGAGGCCCAGTGAGGGAATTGGTTTCTGTCACAGTGTGGCTGGAGCCCCTGCGGGGGGAGCTGTTGCAGAGCCCGTGCCACACTCCCCCCAAAGCAGCAGATCCTGTGGCTCCCATCCTGCGGGTCTGGCAGGCTTGGCTCCCTGATCTGGGCATTGAGACCTGGTGCATGAGATTTGTGACTCCACTCAGGTTTGACCCAGCCAACCCTCTGGCTGACCAGGCCAAACTTGAGTGAGTGGCACTGCAACCCTAGATACCACAATGTCCAGAGCGGGGAGCTGTACCCAGCTACCCCATGGGACAAGGGCTGTAGCCACCACTACGTGATCGGCATGGCATACTTATTTAATGCTTATTAAGTTAATGTGGGTCTTATATATTGTGGGTAAGAAATATTGAGTAACTCCGATTTTTTTTTTTTTTGCATGAAAGCTATTTACCAGGGTTACAACAGGTCTTTGCAAATGGGTCCTGAGCCCCAAAAGATTGAGAACCACTGCAGTCGAGAACAACCTGAAAAAAAAATAGGGTGGGAGGAAGTCTTCAGCCAACTTTGGGGTATGGACTGTTGTTTATTAGATGATTGTAGAGCGCCTAGCACAATGGGGCCCAACCTGGTCATGCCCCTTAGGTGCTTCTGCCGTGTACCATGTTAAAGAAGTAGCTGAAAGCCCTTGTTATCACATGGGTGTGGCAGCTGGCCCAAGTAATATACCACGTGTGCAGTCTTCCTCATACAACCAATGAAATTGTTTCATGCAAATTAGCTGTAGAATAAGAGTGGTAATTGGTTGAGTTACCTCTGATATCACAATGATCTAGGACTTGGCATGGCATAGATTTGTGTCTTACTGTAGCTGTTCACTGCATGGGTATAGTTCGTAAAGTCAAAATGGCTGAGAACTTTAAAATTGGATGGATGATAACAGATCACGACTCCTGGTCATGATTAAACCTGGTGATATTCTAAACAGAAAGAGCTCTCAGCCATGTTTGTAGCTGTTTCCATCGCTTCACACTGACTCAGTGTTCTAGGCTTCAGTGTGGCACGCAGACAGAGTGACAATCCTGGAATCTTTTTGAGAGACTAACTTGCCAGTGCATCAGGATGCTTTTAAGGGGCCATTACAGATGGATACAATAAGTATCACTGGAACATCCAATTTTGATACTTGCAAGAGAAAGGATAAGATGTAAACAATAAAAGCAGCCGAGATCTTAGACATGATTCTCATCTGAATTATACCAGCATAAATTGTGAGTAACTGCATTTAAGTCAATAGAGTTTACACCAGTTTTACAGCTGGTGTGAGAGAAAAGGAATTAATTGTGCCATCTCCTTAAGAGAGTCTCTCTCCCTACTTACCTAGAGAATAGACTACTTTTTCTTTTTCATTAAATATGCTAATCAAATGAGGCATGCTCAGAATAAAGCCATCCCAGCAAGATGGTCAAGGGCTTAGGCCAACATCCTCGGGAGTAAATTAAAACAGGCAATTACAGAATTTCAACCAACCCTCTATTGATTGCAGTGGATCTTGCTGCGATGTGCATTTTCTTAGTTATTAAAAATAACTCGTGGGCTAATGTGTGCCGTCATTTGCTTTGACACAGAGATAGCCACCTTCTCTTTGCACTCGGATTAATTGCTTTAAATGTGTCCGGAGAAGACTCTCGACTTGCACCAAAGGGTCTCTCTCTACCAATGGAAGAAAATAGGTCATCTGTGTTTGCTAGTAGGCGATCTGCCAGGAGATCATATCATATCCTGGCCAGCAAACAATAAAAAGTATCATGCCCTTGATGCTAATGCCCCCTTACCTTATGAGAAAAATAAATATTTGGGCTTACCAGTGGAGCAATGTATAGGGTTATCTCATTCAGGTAGGACACTACACTTGGATGCCCCCCTCCCCCGAAACTCCTTAACAAGGGGAGTGTGGGCTGCAAAGCAGAACCGGAAGGTGCTCAGATATTAAGATAGTGAGCATGGTAAAAGAATCTATAGACAGTAGAATAGTCCTCTGTCCAGATCACAGCATCCTCATAGCCCACAGAAAGGCCCCTCTGCACACCCTGAGCAACAGAAGCCAGGGAGCTGTTCTGGGGTGGAGTCTTGAGACTGCCTTCTCCATCACACACTCTTCATACTTGAAGTAGAAATCCCATCTCTGAACAACCTGGAACTTGCCAGGAGGAAAGCAGGGATTATTATTATTGCTATAATTTACAGTAGCTCCCATCAAGTGTTGGGTACTTTCCAAATACACAAGGAATTGTCCCTGCTCTCAGGAGCTCACAGTTGAAGGGTGGAGAGATAATTAGACAGAGATTAAGGGAAGATGGAAGAACAATATGCAATTTCTATGCAGGCCACTGTCAGCAGCATGGCAGAAGGTTGTTTTTTTTTTTTTTTAGAGAGACTTACAGGTATGCAGGGCAGCGGCATAAAGATGAGCCCAGGAAGGTCACACCATGCATGAGGTTGAAAGCCAGATCCAATTTTGTAGCTGGCTCCTATCTTAATGATGATGATCTGAACCAAAAGCCTGGATCTGAATTGTGACAGATAAGGCAATAATCCTGCAATATCCTTGGGAGACCTTATGAATTGAGTTTAAGTATCTTCAGGGTCAATTGTATTAAATGCAAAGTTTATGTATTATGGTGGGCTGGGATTGTTGGTAACCTCTCTGGACAGCAGAGGGGGATGTGATATGAGGCTTGGGAGAGTTCAAAGGACTATATTGAAAATGTGCCAGACAAGAATGGACCTTGGAGACAATAGGTATGAATTGGATTTCCTCAGAAATACCTAGGGAAAGGTTAACAAAAATTCCTCCTCTGCAGTTGTGCAAAACTCCAGCCTTTTGAAGCTATGCCCTGAGGAGCTGAGTCATTGTCCGCTAATGAGCTGTTCTTGGAGGTTGAAAGAAGAAAAGGAGTACTTGTGGCACCTTAGAGACTAACCAATTTATTTGAGCATGCTCAAATAAATTGGTTAGTCTCTAAGGTGCCACAAGTACTCCTTTTCTTTTTGCGAATACAGACTAACACGGCTGTTCCTCTGAAATCTTGGAGGTTGGAGATCAAAGGCCCACGTCATATAAAGAAATGGCTGAACTGCCCAGCCGGGATTCTCAGAATCTGAGACAGTTATGAACTAGTAAACAGGTGGGAAATGTAGTTGTGGGTTTTGAAGGACTGACACCTACCAGAGCCCAAGGCTGGAGTTGGGGGTGACCTCTGGAAAGCTTTTTAGCATGTGTGTAGGTTCCTATATTGTTTTTTTAAAAAGTTTTCTTTGTGATGATTTCACTTAAAAATTAATCTGCTTGCCTAGAAAGAGTTGTATTGTGACTTATAATTGCTGGCAATTATGCTGTTCATAACCTTGGAAAAGAAAGCAAAGCACAGACAGTGGCCTGTTTAAGTAATCTGGCTTGCTGGGAATATCACAATGTAGGTAAGGAAATGTGCAGCCTTAAAAACATCCTAGTCAGGAGGGAGAGAGATGCAGGTCTCTGCCCAAGAGAGGTGAAGCCTCGGTGGCACGTGCTGGGTGGACCACAGAGAGGGAATAAAAGTGCAGTTGCCCTGAAACTGACATAAATATCCCCCAAAATGTAGGGTATAGGAAATCTGCATGCTGGAACCTACTTCTGATCCCCTTCAAAGTGACTGTCAAGCCATAGTGTGCTGAACACCACAGTGGCCGTGCAGACAAAAGGCACAGCCGAGAGACCCGATGGGAATGGGCAGCAGTGAGCAGCTGGCATATTCCTGGTCCTTTCTCAACCCTTGAAGATGGCCAGCAGCAGTCCCACTGCCTTAGTCAGGTGATAGTGTGGGAAGATGCTGACCCAGGCGGATGGAAAGTGACTTGTCTAGTCTCCTGTTTTCCATTTATCTCTGAGCAATTGCTCCATCGCTTCTTAGATGCTGTTTCTCCACCTCTCCCTCCTTAAAGTTCATGCAGCAGAGTTGCATCCATTCATGGATGCTAGGAATGGGTAAGAATTAGGATGAGGCAGAAACGAACCTCTCTGCAACCTCCAATATCTTGTGGCTGGAGAAGTGCCATAAATCGGACTTTGCCGATGTCTCCCTTGCTCTGCTGGTGACTGGAAAATAGAAACCACTGGAGCCAATTCAAGTTAGTCATCTTCCACACATAGCTCATTGTTTGGAAGACACCAGATAAAAATATCCATTGTCTTCTGGGTGAGGCAATTATGCTCCTTGCCTTCCAGACAACATGGCTGCCAGCACTGTTGATTCTTCCCTAGGGGCAAAGTGTGCCTTTTCCTATATAGCACAGGAAGGCCGGTGCAGGATCTGAGGAAAGACTGGCCAAAGGGGTCTCTACCAGTTTTGCTGAAGGTAAATCCTCTACAGGCTTTCAGGGGAGGTGGGTGGGACAGGTGGGAGGTTCCTTCAATGTCCCCACTCACTGGAGTTTAGAGGAGATGGGAGCTACAGCCAGTGGATTCACCAGCCGCTGCAAGCTGTAGAATGGGACTGCAGCAGTGGAAGGGGCTACTGAAGCCCAAGTGGTGACTGAGTGTGGCTTGGGAATTGAGGATTTCTTCTCTTCCCTCCTAGACTTGTTGAAGGAGGCCAGGAGTGGCTTTGGCCCTATAAGTGAGAGCAGAAATAGGCAGCCTTGTAATATCTAATGCAGCAGTTTGCAAGCGCTGCTGGTATGAGGCTGGGGGAGGAGAGTACTTCGGCCTTTGCAAACAAGATAAACCTCTCCAGCCAAGCAGCTCAAGCATGTACTCAAACCTCCAGCTTCAGCAGCCTCCACTTGAGCTGGTTTGAGTCCACACAATGACAATGGGCGGGTTTCTACAGTTCTGTCCCTTTAAGTTCACAAGGGACCCACAGTGCTGAGCGTCTGGTTTTGTGGCTCCTGTGGGGAAGCTGCCTATAACTAGCTCTGCTGGGCTTCCCACTTCCCTTCCAGTCTCCGGACTCTGCTGCGGGCAGGGAGTTTCTGACTCTGAGTTGACAGTGCAGTAATTCACAGAGACGAATGGGTTCTTAGGGAACAGCCTGCAGACAACTCTCTTCCAGGAAGGACTTGGAATGGGCTATTTTTTCAGGGTGTGGCTTAGATTGGTTCTGAGTTGTTACAGCACAATAGCACGGTTAGAAGGAAAGGACCGAAGTTTTAAATAATGCAGGAGAGGAATACTTATGGCCAGACCCTGAGCTGGTGTAAATCAGGGTAGCTCCACAGAGGTCTGTACAGTTAGACCAGTTCACACCACGTGAGGGATGTGGTCCTTATTTCCTATGTTTTCCTCCTCTGTGCGATTCAAACATGCCGTGGTGTCAGTAACAGAACAGCCATTAGGTTACATTTATTGCAAACTCCAAGCTTTCCTCTACATTCCTTACTTGAGGGGGAAACACCAGCAAAACATATTCAAGCAAAACCAAAGGAGCCCGATTGTTATTTCTTAGGTTCTTATATGGCTCCCATTGTGAGCACTGCCACCGCCTACATTTGACTGCATTCACCTCCACAACATGCCTGTGAGGTGGGGAAGTGCTATTATCTTCATTGTACAGATAAGGGAACTGAGACACACAAAGACTAAGTGGTTTGCCCAGGGTCACATGGGATGTCAGCAGAACAAGGCATTGAGCCTGGGTTTTCTGAATCCCGGGTGAGCACCCCCACTACTTGACGGATCTCCTTTATGCAAGTGTGAAATTGGCCGTCACTCCCATTGAAGTTGCTGGCGTGACCTTGGTGTAAAACTGGTGTGGGAGCACTGGCCCTGCCCCGAGCTCCTGGGCACCAGCTGGAGCTGAGCCCCCATTGGCTTCATGGGAAAGGGGGAGTGAGGGCAGGGCTTTGGGGCAGAATGTGGGTGGGGCCACACCCTGGGTTAGGGGAGGCTTGGCCTCCCCTGACCTTCAATACCCACCGCCCATGCACAAACCACAATTTTACAGGGCTGTGGGGGAAGGGTCCCCAACTATTGGGCATAGAGGTCCTCAGGAATTGCTGCCCTGGCAGCTGAGAAGTGATCCTACTGTCATTCTGCAGCCCTTGGGCATGGAGAAGCTCCCATTACACAGCCCAGCTGGCCTGCTCTAAGCACATCCCACTGCACGTTGTTAGGCAGACTAGCCAGGCTTGCTGTCCTTAGGCAGAAGGGGTGGCCTAGTGTTCTACAGAACCCTGCAGTGGACTCTATATTGTAAGCTCTTTGGGGCCGGGGTCCACCTTTTTGTTCTGTGTTTGTACAGCGCCTAGCAGAATGGGGTCCTGGTCTATGACTAGGGCTCCGATGCACTACCACAATATAAATACATTAATTAATTAATTAATTAAATTAATAACATGCAAGTTCTGAAGAGCTGAATCAATCTCTTCCAGCTTTTGTAGTTTACTATATTGGCAGAGCAAGGAGGGGAGGAAAAGAGAGAGGGGTCTTTCAGAGGAGACCTTCAAAAGCCAGGTTATGCCTGGACACTGAAGATCCTATTTTGTAGGCTACTGGGCTTGCGTCGATGCCTAGGTGAACATTTGTCCTCTCCTGACTGCTGTGTGGTCCAGCTGGCTATCTACCAGGATGCTGGCCAACACCCCAGCAATGGCTACTTTTCAATGATGTTGTGTACAAGGAATTTGTTGAAGGCGCTTCGGCATCCATTTGGGATGGTACATGCTATATGATCACGAAGTATGTTTATTGTGATCAGCAGGAAAATATTTACTGTCATTATCACTTTTATCCAACTCCAGGGCTGCCCAGTATTCTCGGTGTGAGCCCCAGTTCTATCGACATGCCACCTGTTTCAAACCCCCTTGGAACCTGAGTGCCTCTGAATGCCGGACTCATGATCATAAGTCAGTGAACGGGGTTGCCATTTTTTCCCAAGGGCGGATCCGTAGTATTGCAGTGAGTATTTCTATCTATGTTCACTTTCATTGGCAATGATGAAACCAGGGCCTGTGTGCCTGGAAAGATAGTCTGAATGCCTAGAGGCTTTCCAATTATTATGAAAATCCAGCCTGCAGTACATTGCATTAGGCTGTAGTTTGGGAGTTGAGCTTAACTTGTCCTAGGTTTGCTTTCTTCTAAATGGCACTTTATTACCTAATATGTACCGTGGGAATCTGTTATGTAAAATTGGTCTGTTTCTGCGTATGTAAGAATGTTTTTGATAAATGATCCATATTGCCTGCTTTGATTCATTATTTATGTTCTTTAATGGTAATCAGGGAAAGGGGCATTTCCTTTCTTCCCTTTCCTGGAGACAAAGAACTGCTGGAATTGCCAAACTTTTGCTTCCCTTTTAGTTACTGTAGTAATAATAATTAATTAATAATATTTTTAATGTATTGGTGCCCTGGCCCAAAACTCCTTCAGAAACCTTGAGGAAAAATGTAGATTTCAGAATAAAATAGGCCAGCTTGATATAGAATAGCTTCAGTGTGCGAACACAGACCGCAAACCCATTGCGGTTGGTGAGGTTTTAGTTGAGAAAAGATGGTCTGGTTAGGGCACTAGACTGTGGGGCACATTCCCACCTCAGCCACAGACTTTCTGATTAACCTTGGTCAAATCACTTCACTGTTCTGTGCCTTGGTTACCAGAAATGTTTCCTCCACTCGTGGGGGTGTTTTGAAGATAACTTCATAACTACTTGGGAGGTATGGCAATATTAGAGGGATGGAGAGGTACCATGTGAATACCTGCACAGAGATCTAGAAAGGTTTGCCTCATCTGACTGAAATGTGGAAACCATGTATCAGCCGCCCTTGTCTCATGGGGAGAACTTGGTAAAGTGTGGATTAGAGCAACATGACAGACACCTACAAAATGTGAGCCCCTCTGTTTTGAAGTTGTATGTTGGTGTCCACCTGAGGGAATGTGGCCTTCGGGTTTGGGGGAATTCAGGTCCTGTTTGCAAGGAGTGGTAGTCATTTGCATTGATATGTGGGTTCAAAGCTGCAAAATGAAACTAGCCATTGGGTGTACGTACATCTGTTACTAACCGCACCGTATGTGACTAAAACTGAAAGGGTGAAAAACAAACAAAAAACCAACCTGAACCTTTCTGTTGTGTTGTTTCTTGCATTTCACTCAACTTGGAGATTTCTTTGGTTGGTTTCTTTTTTTGTTCCTAGTTAGTTTCATGCTTCTGGCTCTCTTGTGCTAACACAGTGGCCAGCACTGGCTTGTTAACTCTCCACCCTACCTGCCTTTCCCCAGAAGATTTGTGTGTCCATTGAAGTTTTAAATAAGGCATGCCTACATTTGGTTTGCAACTCCTTCCCAAAAATGTTGCAACTTCCCCCATCAAAAACTTAAAAGTTAGAGGCCAGATTGTAGCTTGGATTCTGCAGGTGCAATGTCCTGTTAGAGGGATAGTGGGCAGGAAGACGCTTTCCTTCTCTCCCCTCCCTCATCTTGTGGTGCCATGCGAGGGCTAGTCACAAAGGGCTAGATTTTCAGAGGCATTTAGGCACCCAAAGATGCAGGCAGGCATTGGTTTCAATGGGAGTTAAGTTCCTAGGTGCTTCTGAAAGTCCCACTAGACAGCTATCTGCCTAAATACCTTGGGAAATCTAACCCAATCCTTGGTCCTTATGCTCAGGCATCACACACAATGGCACTAACCTCCCCAGAGAGATGGTCTTTCAGGAATGCACACTCTGTAACATTCCATTACAAAGGGAGCTGAAAGGACCACTATGGTTCTTGCTCCTGGTCTTGCCACTGCGAACTTCTTTATGGAACAGCACACTTCGTAATTCCCCACCCCTCTTACTGCAAGGATGTGTCTTTACAGCTGCCATCTACCTCTGACCCTGTAATGGTTGGTGGTGACCCTTTGAATCATGTTGTTGGAACGCCTTGAGTAGTTACGTTGAGTTGCTGGTCCCATGAAGAGGAATAGAGCCTGCTATTCCTTTTGTTCAGGTGAGTGTTTCTGTGACTGTATGTTCCTCCCAACATCAGTGACAAAGAGAGACCTTGTTTACTCTACTATCACTTGCATTAGGTGAATCCCACTAGCTGAATTCCACTGTCGCTTCCTGCAGCCAGAAACCAGCCTGAGCATTGCTTACCCATGAAACACCCAGGTGCCGCATTCGTCTGCCTTCGTGATGTAATTCTCAGGCAGCAGCCCAGAACAGCCGGTCGCTAGGGAAGTGCCATAAATCCAGCCCTCACTGGTGCTGGTTTGCTCCACTGGGGACATGAAAATGAAATCCCCTGGAACCAGCTCAAGCTCGTCGTCATTCTGCGGGATGTAGGGATAGATCACTTGCAGTGTCTGGGGAGATGGAAGAGAAAGAGAGAGCATGTGAGAAGGGCATTACAGAATCCTGGGCCATGCGAGAAGGCTGAAGGAATGAACTCGCATATGCCTCTCCCCAGCTATCTACTACCTTCCCCCAACTAGACAATTAACCCTTCTTAGGCCAGTAAAAGAGAGAGCAAAGGGGACTATAGAAATGAATGACAGGCATTAAAGATGGAAAAGCCTTGTGAAATCACCCAGTCCCACACTCCAGCTGCTGCAGTCTCAGCTTTCTGCATTGTATTACCTAGTCCTAGTGCTTCATTCATTCTAGTTTTTAACAGGAAGTCAGACTAGATGATTACAGTGGTCCCTTCTGGCCTTATACATCTACAAAAAACATCTTTAGAATGTGGTGTCTGCCACGTCCCATCGGGAAAGTATTCAGTCCTTATTGTCGGGAAGTTTTCAGTATTCAGTTTCCATTTGCCCCTTTCATCCCCTTGCTCCTAGTCAAGCTGCTCCTTGTGCCATCCTAAATAATTCCTCCCCTTCCTTGTTCTGCAATTCAGTAAAAAATGTAAGCACGTGCTTAACTTGAAGCATCCTGTTGACTTGGGCCTACTCATGTGCTTAAAAGTTAAACATGTGCTCCAGTCCGCAGTTGAATTGGGGACTTTGTATTTACACATGTGAGGTTCCCAAGGATCATCTTCTATGTGTTTACTCGCATTCCAGTTAAAAGAGCATTTTTCTTCCCCACTCTTTATTGGCTTTGAAAGTGGGGTAGTGACCCTTTGTCACTGGGCTAATACGTTTGAACTCATGATATTCTGCTCTCAGAACTGTTTACGAGGACATGAAGAAAACAAAATTAAAGGCGATGAGGAGAGTACTGCCTAGACCATCTCGTTTTACTATTATTTCTTAAGATGAATGGGCTCAGGTTTCAAAGTAGGCAGAGAAGTAGCAAGTTTTTTCTGCGGAAAAGGACCTAGGGGTGACAGTGGACGAGAAGCTGGATATGAGTCAGCAGTGTGCCCTTGTTGCCAAGAAGGCCAATGGCATTTTGGGATGTATAAGTAGGGGCATAGCGAGCAGATCGAGGGACGTGATCGTTCCCCTCTATTCGACATTGGTGAGGCCTCATCTGGAGTACTGTGTCCAGTTTTGGGCCCCACACTTCAAGAAGGATGTGGATAAATTGGAGAGAGTCCAGCGAAGGGCAACAAAAATGATTAGGGGTCTGGAACATATGAGTTATGAGGAGAGGCTGAGGGAGCTGGGATTGTTTAGCCTGCAGAAGAGAAGAATGAGGGGGGATTTGATAGCTGTTTTCAACTACCTGAAAGGGGGTTCCAAAGAGGATGGCTCTAGACTGTTCTCAATGGTATCAGATGACAGAACGAGGAGTAATGGTCTCAAGTTACAGTGGGGGAGGTTTAGATTGGATATTAGGAAAAACTTTTTCACTAAGAGGGTAGTGAAACACTGGAATGCGTTACCTAGGGAGGTGGTAGAATCTCCTTCCTTAGAGGTTTTTAAGGTCAGGCTTGACAAAGCCCTGGCTGGGATGATTTAACTGGGAATTGGTCCTGCTTTGAGCAGGGGGTTGGACTAGATGACCTTCTGGGGTCCCTTCCAACCCTTATATTCTATGATTCTATGATTCTATGATTCTAAGTAATTAGAATTCTACTTCTGTCTGTTGCACTGTGAAAATATATATCCCGTTTTGTGTGTTAATGCTTGTTTGTGTATTTGATGTGCACACAGGTGCACGTATTGGGGTGTGAGTGTACAAATATAACTTGTAATGTTCAAGAGAGCATGGATGGAATTTAAACGATTTTTGTTTTGTTTTGTTACATGTTTTCAAAAGGGCAAAAAGCCCTGTAAAACTGGACAAAAATGTTCTTATGGGGAAAAAAAATTGCTTTGAATGCGATTGTTCCCTTCTGCCAGCTGGGAGCTAGAATGTATTGTAGGTCATGAGATAGAATGGCAAGTAACCTTCTTTGCTAACTGAAGTGGAGTCAAATGTTGATCAGTAACTTTCCTGGTAAATACCCACAGCCATCCTCCACTTCAACAAAAGGCTTGTTGCCTGACTTCTGCATTAGCAACTTCCATCGCAAAGCAAACATCTAATGAGCAACTCTGTCCTTTTTATATATCTTGTATGCTCCGTAAGGAAATGTGACTTGTCATGCCTGGAGCTGACTGTGGCTCCATTGATTCTAGTATCCTGTTTCTGGCAGTGGCCAGCATCTTCAGAGGAAGATGGAAACTAGTCACTGTCCCTTAATATCCCAAGACCAAAACTTTCACGCTTGGGCATGCCTAAAGCTGTACACCTAATAAAAGTGCCAGAGTTGCTGAGCATTTGCTACTCCCACTGCAATCAATAGGAGTGCTGGGTATATACTTTGGTCCCTCTTATTTTCCCCCTGTGGCACATCATAATCTAGTTTTCTGTGGGCTGTGATACTTTGGTCTAATTTCAGCTGTGGGAATTAGTGTGCAGGTGACGGGTGGTGCTGGTGGCCTGTGATGAACTGTAGGTCAGACTGGACGTTCTGGTGCTCCCTTCTGGCCTTAAATTCCGAGACTATATCTGGATTATGGCTCTGCCACAGACACCTTGGGGAACAGGCTGAATCTCTGTAAACATCTTGGGACAGGGCCTAGGATGACCTCCTAGGTCCCTCCTAGATGACCTCCTGAGGTCCCTTCCAACCCTGATATTCTGTGATATGTGCCTTTGGACCAGAGCGGGACCCAATCTCAGTTTGGAGCTTTGCAGCAATACTGAGATACAAATCAACTGCAATGGTATTTGATTGCTTTTTTATTTTTTAAACTGAGATGAACTCCAAAAATTACCTCATGGTTAGCAAATCTTATATCTCGAGAGAAGATTGTGGCGACCCAGTCGCATCCTAGCTTGACGTCGATGTTCTGTGCTAATTTCTCCAGCGTGGGCAAGTGGCTGGTTTGGAAGTGGTAGGCCAATGTCACGTGCAGCTGTTTCTTATGGGGTTCTACATGCACATCTGAAATGAGAAAGATGCAATCAAAAGCAAGCAACTGTCACTTTGAACAGCAGACTCTTGCTCCATTTTCAAAGCATTCATCCCATTAGTGCAGGAGAATTGAGCAAAACTTTTCAGTTAGCGAAGGAAGACAAATGGCAGTTTGATCTCTGAAATCAAAACTATAGAGCTGCGCACTGGTAATGCACCATTGATCTGAGTCTGACCCTTAGGAATTTGATTAGAGGAGCATTTGGTACCAGGGATGTCTCATGAAATCTTGTATAACCCACTGCCTATTGAGTCTGCATTATGCTTCCCTAGGGTGACCAGATGTCCCGATTTTATAGGGACAGTCCCGATATTTGGGGCTTTTTCTTATTTAGGCTCCTGTTACCCCCCCCCCCCCCCAACCCCTGTCCCGATTTTTCACACTTGCTATCTGGTCAGCCTATGCTTCCCCAGCCTGTGTGCCTGATGTACAGAGGAGAGGAATCTGCGACTGCCTGCAGCTCCAGGGTTTAGCAGTCCTTAGGCTCAAGCTACAGAGGCTCATGCTGTTAGCTCTGGAGGTCCCAGGTTGTTTTCGAGCGAACGGGCAGCCTTTCCCCCTATCTAAGGGGTTGACGTTCTCTCCAAAAATAGGCTGCTCAGAGTGGGTTCCTGCATATGGTGCAGGTCTGATGCTCAAAGGTGGTGAGCACTCTCAAACTCCTATTTGCCTCTGACATGGGTGCTCAATACTTTTGAAAAACAGACAGTGGCTTGTTTTTCTTTTTAATTCCCCCACACAAGATCTTTTCTCTCCTGGTCTCTCCACTCTGTGTTTTCTATCTGTTCTGTCTGTCATCCTATGCATCTGTTGCATTTCCGCCCCCTCCCCCCCCACTCTGCGCTGTTTTTCCTCCCACAGGTGGAGAACACAAACTGGGGACTCTTAGAGTTCATGTTGAAGTTGAAATATTCAGGTTAACGCAGCTTGACGTCCTGGCTCCACTGAAGTCAATAGGAATTTTGCCAGACTTCGGTGAGGTCAGGACTTCACCCACGGTGCTGAAGTATTTTAAAATGAGACACACACACAGTTTGAGGTGAGGCGAGGGTACTCCCAGGATAAGAGGTAAAGCTACTGAGAGAACCTACATAATGAAGGGATTAAAAAAGGTGAACACACAGGTGAAGAAATGAGGAAATGCCAGAAGCTGGGAATGGGCGACAGGGGATGGATCACTTGATGATTACCTAGTAGTTCATTCCCTCTGGGGCACTGGCATGGGCCACTTTGGCAGACAGGATACTGGGCTAGATGGACCTTTGGTCTGACCAAGTAAGGCCATTCGTATGTTTTATATAAATCATAATAAACAGAACTGTTCAAACTGGAATAAATTGTAAAAATAACTTATTTTCCCTCATTCAACCACATCTAAAAATTAGGGACAGACAAACTGGCAGACATTTGGAGGCTTGGTTCCCAACCCAAAATGTCAGGTGCTTGCCCAGCCCATTTGAATCTCTCTCATTCAGCAAAAAAGGACACATTATAGGGGTGATCTCTGACAAGGGCCCGGGGCATCGAATGTGGGTACGCGACAGCGCTGTGTGTGAGCAATGCGCCCGTAAGAATCAGCTCAGAGGAACATTTGGTCTAAGAGGAACAAATCTCATGGGGACAGGCTGCCTGGAGATTGTCAGTGCTTGTTCCTTTTTCCGGTAGGACCAGAAGCGGTGAGGGCAGCTGCTCACGCTGTGTTAGGACGCGCCAAAAAAAAAAAAAAAAAACCAAAGAAAAAGCAGGTGTTTAAAGCTTCCAGCCATTTCCTCCCTCTTCTGAAAGTGAGTGTCTCTAGGTCGCTGTCAGGTGAAACTCCTGGGGGCTCAGAACAACCTGCAGTTCTACAAGGCCAAGTGTATCTACTTAGTTGTCATGGTTTTAGCTACGGCACCTAAAGGGTGGCTGTTCTGAGTTCTGGACGGGGGCGTGCGGCTGCACAACCTGTGCTGGACCAGCAGCAACAGACTCCTGAGAGTCAGAAGTTCTCGTCCCTCCCCCACCCCGTATGTATGGAACCGCTGATTTGATGCATTTTAACCCATGCGGTGTAAGCCTGTGAAAATCTAGGACCATCTTTTGCTGTGCCCAGTTTATGCGGGGTGCTGCAGGGGTGGGATGGCACGGAGTTGGTTACAGCTCTCTGATGCGCTGCTTGTGGCTGTTCCCTCAGGGGCTATGTGGCTGCCGGGGGATCGCCAGAGCACACTGAGCACACTCCCACTCCATCCCCCTGTCGTGCTCCCTGCACCAGGAGGCACTGGAGTCAGTTTTGCTGGTTCTGTGCCTGCTGGCCACTCCCATATGCCATGGGACGCTCCAGCAGAGAATTAGGGCAGGTTTCCTCTCGCTTTGCATTAGCTAAGTGATGGTAAGCAGGCCCGAGAATCTGGTCCCCAAGGCGGTGTGGTGAATTTCCTCTGGACGTACAAAGGCTGAAAGGGGTTTCCCTTTGGTTGTTGAGGTATTTTACGCATCTTCACAGAGAGCCAGGTTTGCTTCCGGGAAGCAAAAATTCTGTAAGGAAACTAAATGCGCTTTCTGTCTGTGGTGGGGGAAAAAGCTTGAGGTAGTGAGCTGAGCAGGAACTTGTAGCCTCAGAGACAAAATGTCTGTTTGAAAGGTTAAAGAACTGTCAAATGTCAACTTCCCTTCCAGGAGATAACACTTCAGAGCAAATGGGTTGTGCTCTTTGAACTGAAAACAATAGGTTCTGTGAAGAGGTACTGAAACCCCAGAACACGTGGTGGGGTATTCCTCTCTCATCTTCCTAGCCCTGAAGCCTCGCTTAAAAATCCAACATCACTTCCCTGAGCTTGAAAGCCCTACTTCTGAATGGCATCAAAAATTTTGCATCTGAAAATGCTCTCTGGGGCACCTATGAACAGAGGAATCACTAAAGCGGAGCAGAACAATGGGCCATCTCGGTCCTGTCTCAGACAGTGGCCAAGGCTGAATACTTCAAAGAAGGCGAAATTCCCACCTTCCCAGACCATGCACCAAACTGGGCAATACAATTGCATGGAGGGTGCAAGGAGGGTAGATAACACTGACACTGACTAGGCTCCTGATTCAGCAAGGCACTTGGGCGCCTGACTAACTTTAAGCACGAGTAGTCTTACTGCTGTCAATGGGCTAATTACCTTGCCGTATTGGGGATGGTATTTCTTACATCTTTCCCCTCAGAGTCGAGAATAAAATTCAGGAGTCCGGACTCCCAGCTCATGCACTAGCTATTAGATGTCACTGCTTTTCTACGGACAGCATTAAAAAAGCTTCTTCCTCAGGGTGCCTCCTGTTAGCCTAGTGTTTTGTCATTGGCTCGTCACTGTAAAATGGTCAGGCTTGCCCAAGACGATGGTTAGTGTGTTGCCATGAAAATGATGCCCTTTGAAATAGACATTACGGGTTAAGTGATAGGCTAAATAAAGTGTATATCCTCGTCCCTGGCATCTTGGATTACAGTTATTCACTGGACAAAATTAGCTATTTGTTTTAATAGTCACTTAAAAGGGCTTCCTTTATGATAAAGCTTTTTTTTTTTTTTTTTTTTAGCATAAATGAAATATTGACAGAAGGGGAATACAATTGTAAGAAGAGCATGTTTTGGGGAGGGTAAATTTAGTGTGAGGACCAACCTTGGGAACCAAATGAATTTATTCAGTGTCAGATCCTCAGCTGGTGACTTGGGTGGAGTTTTGCCAGTTTACACCAGCTGAGACTCTGGCCCTTACTATTACCACAGAAGGGATACTGTGCAGGGAGTGACACTGCCCCACTAAAAGTGCCTCAACCCTGATTTGGAAAGACCACATCTGCGGGAAAACAGTTCAGTCTCTCTTCCCCACCCAGTCTTCAGTCTAGGCTGCTAACAAGGAGGCCAGTTGTGGTGTGGGCATCTGTCCCTTAAGGATTGGACTCTGATTCCTAAACAGCACCTCCAGAGGTTCTGTCAGGACCTTCTGGCAAGATTTTGGCAGCACAATGGGTGCATTTTACCATGACATACCAGGAGTATTTGGCACTAGTCAAGCTAAAATGCTTGGAGCCCCTATAGCCTGCCTTTGACATTTCTTTCCCGTGTACTCACCCACTTTAGAAGCAGCTTCTGTAGCAAAGTCCGCCGCAAACTTCTTGAGGACCTCAGCGCTGTCCTCCTTGACGAAAAGCCCAATGAAGTTCGAAGATGTGTAGAGTTCTAAAGGCAGGGGAGCAGGGAATTTGCATTTCCATCGCATCACTGTGGCATGCAGGGCTTCATTGAGCGCATCAATTTTGCTGTCTTCGCACTGCCGATGAAAGCAGGACACATGTTCCTTAGGGGGCAGGAATTCATTCACTGGGACCGTATATACCCTTGTAGTGTACTCAGAGAAGAAAGGAAGGGTTCAGGGTGATGGACCTGAATGGTTTTACACCTTGGACTTTCATAGAAGTAGAAGAATGTAAAGAACTAGCATATACATCAAACAAAATGAAACAACCAAGAGCTGAGTGAATACAAAAAACTCTTCCATGGATTTGCATTCAAATGTTTCAGCTAACCAGCTTCAGAGGTATTCACTCTCCTGTTGCATTTGTTGTATGGCCTAGTGGTTGGGGTTCCCCTGAGACCTCTTCCACTTGGTTCCCCAAGAACTGAGCTCATCTCCGCTCGTCACTCAGGCGCCTTTATTTGGCATAGAGCAAAGTTATGTTGAGTTGATTAGATTCAAGCATAGGGGTGGGTGTAGGCGGACCACACCCCCAAAATTACGCAGCAAACCTCTTCCTTTACATATGTTTACCATACATTGCATTTACTATACATTACATTACACGTTTTGGGATTGGCTTGGTAACTTTATAGGAACCAATCCCAGGACAGCATGCACTGTCCATACACAACTTACTCTTTACCTCACCTTAGGTTCCAGGCTTATCTTATCCATTGCTATCTCGTCCATTGTAAATGGTTCCCTGGGTGTTCCCCTTTATTTTAGCTAATACAGACATTCTGTTTACAGATTACTGATCCATTTACCTCCCTAATCTTGTCTCCCAAGAAATAAAGACGCATCCATATCTAATTACTCATGGCAAACCAGGCCTGTACCAGTGATTATCATGTTTCCAACATGCCCATCACCATAGTAGCCTTCCAAAGTTAGTTACATCAGTGACCCTCTCCGAAGAAGAACTTTCTCTTTCTTGTGATTCCCAGAAGAGATGGGTCAGGTGTCTTGCTTTTCGACTTTATTTTTCAGAAGTTTTACCATAGCCATTCTTATATAGTCGAATACAATGACAAAGCAGGAGTACAGCTTTAATCTTAACACAGTATGAAATATTCATAGATAAATACTCCTGAGTATAAGATAAATAATTCCCGAACACCCCCCACACTTTTCCCCAGAAAAGAAGCATCAGAAGCCCAATCTAGCGGGAGACTCTTGGTAAAGCTCTCAAGAGCTCCATTCATAGGTGGAGTTTGTGCCTCTATAGGTTAGTGTTAGTTTTTTTAGCTTAGCTCAGTCAGCCAATCAAAGAATGTGTGCGTGGGGCAGGGGATAGCAGATTTCCCTTTCCGTCAAATGACTCTTTTAGCCACTGAGTGCTGCAGCAATCCATTTCCTGGCATTACTCAAACAAGGTGGATTTCCTAGAATGCCCAAAACAGAGGCTTGATGTGGGGGAAACCTCTACCCCGGAGCACCAAACGCTTTCTTCCAAAACATGGACATATTTTGCCATTCAAAGACTATCCGAGACAGGTTTGCATTGCAGCTGCCACAACTCCAATATTTGCTATGCGGGGCGAGTCCAGCTTTAAGCATTTGCCCAGGAGTCCGATATCATCTCTTTAGAATTTTGTTCTGAATGAAATGCAAAAACAGAACTGGATGTTCTGCACATACAATGCCAGATATTGTCCCACCTGTCAGAGCAAAAGGAAATGTTTAGCATCTTCTCCCATTTTTCTTGCATGGTACAGTCAGTAGGATAAATCAAGGAGTTCACCATTTGTATGTGTTACCCACAAAATGTTTTTGGCTAACATACTTTTTAAGGTGCACTTTAAGTGGATTGTTTGTTGTCTGCCAACAATTCCCCACCTCCTTTATAATTTTGAGTCCACGCTTATTGTAGAAAGGACCTTGCTCTATTGGGTAGCTGGTGTTTCTCATGAAGATATGTGAAGCAGGCTAAAGATGTCTGTTCAGTAATCTCTTTTATGGTTAATGTGTCCATGGTTAGGCAGGAAGATTTGAGTTTTGAGCTATTAGTACATTAAAATTGCGGGTTATTCCAGTTTGGTACCGAAGGAGAGCTGGTGAGATTAAAAGTGGTTATGGATTTGATTTTCTTTGGGGAAAGGCCAGCCAAGCAACGAATAAGATTGTGATATGACTGCCCTAAGTACCAAACAGTGGCCTCTTGGAGGAGCATCTGTGTATAGTCTACTTAGTGAGATATGCGGATGATATGGTGATGAGAACTTTAGCGATACACGTGACAATCGTTAAGACCATATTGATGCCGGTCTGTGACTGATACCAATTTAGTATAAGGGACTCATGAATTCTCTTTTGAGCTCTGCCATTCATTTACTCTGTGACCAAGGGCAAGTCATGTCACCCCTCTGTGCTTGTTTCCCCATCTGTAAAGTGTGCAGAGTGACACTTCTCTGCTTCAGCGGGGGGAACTGTGAGACTTAATTAGTGCTTAAAAAGATCCCTGGATATAGCACCGTATAGAAGTGCAATGCATCAGCAGGACTTCCAGCAGGACACCATCTCCTAGAACTCTAATGAAAAATGAGCAAACATATTTTTCAGCAGATTTCAAGGACCTAGTCTCCAGTGATATTATTCTGTTAAGACAGTGGTGGCTTGGAATGGACTTGTTTAACAAACATTTTGCTTCCCAGCCTGGTGTGCATCAAGCAAACCCAGTAATAATATTCCCTGAATTCCCTCGAGCACAAAGCATTTTACAATGAGTGGAGAAATATGTAACTCAACCTGCTTGAACCTGGTAATGGTTGCTGCCAAAAAAGACGCACAGGACAATTGAATGAGAAGTGCTGGCTCACCATAAAGAACTGGCAAAGAGTGATGTGTGGGAAGATGTTGTGAGCCTTGTTCTTCCCACAGATCTGCTTCGACTGCTGCCAGAAATCAGAGAGCTTCTGAGCCAAGGGGCCGGTGGGGCGCAGGTAGAGGACATATTCCCGAGGCAGGGGGTCATCAAGGAATGGGTCCCCCACATGAGAGAACAACCTGAGAGAGAGAAGGGAAGAGGTGGTTATTCAAGAACAGCAGAAATATTGAGTAAGAGATTAAATTAAAAAGACCCATATTTTTGTAGCAGAAAGAACCAAAATTAGAGTTCTTCCCCACTCCCCACATGTTACTAGCCTTGGGGCCACTGATCTCCAAGGGACCAGGCATGGAAATGTACATTCCTGCTGTCTATATGTCCAGTGTGGCCCAGTTATTATTACTAAGTAGGAGGGAAGTCTGCTTTTTCAGTTAAGTCTCTGGACTGGGACTCGTTCAGTCTTTGGTTCTGCCATAGGCTCTCTGGGTGACCTTGTGTCAAAAGTGCTTAATAATTTTGGGTACCCAATTTGAAACATGTTAAAGGGGCCGGATTTCCAGAAGGCAGAAGTTTCAGTACTCTCTGTAAAACATGCCCTTTAACTTGTTCTCAGTGCGGACACTCAAAACCGAGGCACCCAAAAACTCTTGTTCCCTTTGCGAATTTAGATCTCAAACTCGCACAACTGTGAAGTGGGGGTGATAAAACTTCCTTTCTCTCACCTTTCTTGACCTTGCCTATTGAGATGGTCAGCATTTCGGGGCAGGGACTGTCTCTGACCATATGTCTTACGGTGCCTAGCACAATGAGGCATTGATCTTTCTTGTGTCCCTTAGGTACTGCCCTGGTATCAACAAACAATGACGTGGAGCTTCCATAAATAACATTTCACATTACAGTTTGTAAAGTATGGTAAATAAATCTTATCCACTTTTAAAAATTATTTATTACTTCATACCAACCAGTCACATGCTGCTTGGACACTTCTTCCGCCAGTGGATGTCAGTGCTTTTTGTCTGAGGAGGGGGAGGAAAAGAATATTCCACTGTTAGTGTTAATGGGTAGACAGAAAGTGGATAGTAACATCTGCTGCTTGAATTGGACTCTGCAGCCACCAGAAACCCTGGTACCTGTGGTTCTGGATTTGCAGACAGCGGCAATAACTAAGGGCCAGAGTCTGATGTCCTAACTCCCGGTGAATAATGCATTTCTCAATGAATGCTCCAATTTAACTCAATGAAACTATTTGTGGAGTCAAGTGCAGGTAGATTAAGGCAATCCAGGCCCATAGACACGCCCCCTGAACTGATGCCCCACCCACTGCACCATGCCCCTGTTCAAGGTGGTAGTGGCAAGGGCCATCCAAACATGGACAGTCTGCTCAGCTGTTGCAGGTCCAGCCACCGCTGCCAGGCTGAAGTTTTGCTCCTTCCTACCCACTACTTCCTGTCCTCAGGTGAGCTGGATTCCTATGGGAGAAGAGAGAACTCAGCTCCTCTGAGCAGTGGCACCATTTTTCGGCTTAAATGAGGGCTTGAGTCAGACTCTGGCTTTAGCTAACCTGAGCGACAAAGTTAATGTCAACTGTGGCACCAAGAACAGTCAATGGGGCAGAGGGCGGTGGAGTTGCTTTCTCTGAAAGGCAGCAAGGTTAGAGCAGGGGCAGAGACGTGCCGTGCTGAGATCACCTAAACCCAGTCACAGCGTTGAATGCCAGATCTTCCAATTTTATTGTCAGCCTCATGATATTTAATGTCATACGTGATGCCCCGGCTTCTGGAGACATGTGATAATGTGAGACTCTCAGCTTTCATTTTAAGAAAAGTATGTTTCTAGTTTCAGAGTAGCAGCCGTGTTAAATAAATTAGTTAGTCTCTAAGGTGCCACAAGTGCTCCTTTTCTTTTTATGTTTCTAGTGCTCATGGTTGCACAGAAAAGTTTGAAAAAGTGACCTGAGCACACTCCAAAGGCTTAAAAGCTAGGAGTCAAACAAAAAGTACTCCAAACTTCTTTTTTTAGAAAAAAACTTATAATTGTTTTTAGCCAATCTTGTGACTTTCTGGGATCTGACTCATGATTTTGGAAGGTGAGGGGTTGACAACATAGCATTCACACATTGCCTCATTGCAAGAATACCCGGCTTAGGAGGTATATTCTCTCTTCGGGTTTTCATTGTCAAAGGGCTGCAGTGTTTTATTTACAAACACAGAGAATATGGTTTCCCACTGCTTACAAAAATGTCTTCCTGCTCCCTGCTCAACCTCTTAGCTGCCCCTATGGCACTTCACATGTCATATCAGCACCATTTGTAAGCAGGACTTATCTAAATGTGAACATACATGGAATCTGGATCTATTCCAAATGCACCTTATTTCAGACTCAATAAAATTAAATGTTGCCTGATCAATTTACACAAGACAGCGTGCAGTGTCTGTTTTCTTTCTCTTTCACCTGGTGTGCTTCATGATAGATAAACCCCTTTGTTTCAGATCCGTTGCTAACAGGATTTTAAAATGACCTACTTATTGGCCTTTTGATCAGCATGAAAATCAAAGGGGATGGATATGAAAATATGGGGCATCTCATTCAGCTTTAAGAAGAGCAGAGAAAAACAACCACCACCAGGGGGCACAAAGCAAATATTTTCAGCCTGGAATAACCTAGGGAAAAACTACTAAATGTGTTTCAGAGTAGCAGCCGCGTTAGTCTGTATTTGCAAAAAGAACAGGAGGACTTGTGGCACCTTAGAGACTAACCAATTTATTTGAGCATAAGCTTTTGTGAGCTACAGCTCACTTCATCGGATGCATAAAAGTGGAAAATGCAGCGAGGATGTTTTTATACACACAGACCATGAAAAAATGACAGGTTTCAGAGGAACAGCCGTGTTAGTCTGTATTCGCAAAAAGAAAAGGAGTACTTGTGGCACCTTAGAGACTAACCAATTTATTTGAGCATGAGCTTTCGTGAGCTACAGCTCACTTCATCAGATGTTTACCGTGGAAACTGCAGCAGACTTTATATACACACAGAGAATATGAAACAATACCTCCTCCCACCCCACTGTCCTGCTGGTAATAGCTTATCTAAAGTGATCAACAGGTGGGCCATTTCCAGCACAAATCCAGGTTTTCTCACCCTCCACCCCCCACACAAATTCACTCTCCTGCTGGTGCTAGCCCATCCAAAGTGACAACTCTTTACATAATCAAGTAGGGCTATTTCCTGCATAGATCAAGGTTTTCTCACATCCCCCCCACCCCCATACACACACAAACTCACTCTCCTGCTGGTAATAGCTCATCTAAACTGACCACTCTCCAAGTTTAAATCCAAGTTAAACCAGAACATCTGGGGGGGGGGGAGGTAGGAAAAAACAAGAAGAAACAGGCTACCTTGCATAATGACTTAGCCACTCCCAGTCTCTATTTAAGCCTAAATTAATAGTATCCAATTTGCAAATGAATTCCAATTCAGCAGTTTCTCGCTGGAGTCTGGATTTGAAGTTTTTTTGTTTTAAGATAGCGACCTTCATGTCTGTGATTGCGTGACCAGAGAGATTGAAGTGTTCTCCGACTGGTTTATGAATGTTATAATTCTTGACATCTGATTTGTGTCCATTTATTCTTTTACGTAGAGACTGTCCAGTTTGACCAATGTACATGGCAGAGGGGCATTGCTGGCACATGATGGCATATATCACGTTGGTGGATGTGCAGGTGAACGAGCCTCTGATAGCGTGGCTGATGTTATTAGGCCCTGTGATGGTGTCCCCTGAATAGATATGTGGGCACAATTGGCAACGGGCTTTGTTGCAAGGATAAGTTCCTGGGTTAGTGGTTCTGTTGTGTGGTATGTGGTTGTTGGTGAGTATTTGCTTCAGGTTGCGGGGCTGTCTGTAGGCAAGGACTGGCCTGTCTCCCAAGACTTGTGAGAGTGTTGGGTCATCCTTTAGGATAGGTTGTAGATCCTTAATAATGCGTTGGAGGGGTTTTAGTTGGGGGCTGAAGGTGACCGCTAGTGGCGTTCTGTTATTTTCTTTGTTAGGCCTGTCCTGTAGTAGGTAACTTCTGGGAACTCTTCTGGCTCTATCAATCTGTTTCTTTACTTCTGCAGGTGGGTATTGTAGTTGTAAGAAAGCTTGACAGAGATCTTGTAGGTGTTTGTCTCTGTCTGAGGGGTTGGAGCAAATGCGGTTGTATCGCAGAGCTTGGCTGTAGACGATGGATCGTGTGGTGTGGTCAGGGTGAAAGCTGGAGGCATGCAGGTAGGAATAGCGGTCAGTAGGTTTCCGGTATAGGGTGGTGTTTATGTGGCCATCGTTTATTAGCACTGTAGTGTCCAGGAAGTGGATCTCTTGTGTGGACTGGACCAGGCTGAGGTTGGTGGTGGGATGGAAATTGTTGAAATCGTGGTGGAATTCCTCAAGGGCTTCTTTTCCATGGGTCCAGATGATGAAGATGTCATCAATATAGCGCAAGTAGAGTAGGGGCTTTAGGGGACGAGAGCTGAGGAAGCGTTGTTCTAAATCAGCCATAAAAATGTTGGCATACTGTGGGGCCATGCGGGTACCCATAGCAGTGCCGCTGATCTGAAGGTATACATTGTCCCCAAATTGTCCCTACCCCCCCCCCCCCAGATGTTCTGGTTTAACTTGGATTTAAACTTGGAGAGTGGTCAGTTTAGATGAGCTATTACCAGCAGGAGAGTGAGTTTGTGTGTGTATGGGGGTGGGGGGGATGTGAGAAAACCTTGATCTATGCAGGAAATAGCCCTACTTGATTATGTAAAGAGTTGTCACTTTGGATGGGCTAGCACCAGCAGGAGAGTGAATTTGTGTGGGGGGTGGAGGGTGAGAAAACCTGGATTTGTGCTGGAAATGGCCCACCTGTTGATCACTTTAGATAAGCTATTACCAGCAGGACAGTGGGGTGGGAGGAGGTATTGTTTCATATTCTCTGTGTGTATATAAAGTCTGCTGCAGTTTCCACGGTAAACATCTGATGAAGTGAGCTGTAGCTCACGAAAGCTCATGCTCAAATAAATTGGTTAGTCTCTAAGGTGCCACAAGTACTCCTTTTCTTTTCATGAAAAAATGGGTGTTTATCACTTCAAAAGGTTTTCTCTCCCCCCCACCCCACTCTCCTGCTGGTAATAGCTTATCTAAAGTGATCACTCTCCTTACAATGTGTATGATAATCAAGGTGGGCCATTTCCAGCACAAATCTAGGTTTTCTCTCCCCCCACCCCACTCTCCTGTTGGTAATAGCTTATCTAAAGTGATTACTCTCCTTAAATGTGTGCAGCTCCTGCTAAACTGATCACGTTCCCGTCCTGATTTTTCCCTTTTAAGTGCATAAATATTCCCTGTTGTTCTAACAAAGATTAAATAAAAATGCACCAAAGTGTTCTGTTGTTGAGCAGTCAGGAAAATACAGGAGGAAATCAATACACTGCAATTTAATTTTGGATAGCACCTGTTTATCCAAAAAATGTTTCCCCAAATATCGATATATTGCACTGAAAAGCAGTTATACCTGAGTGGGCAATTAGTCTACGGAACTCATTGCTACAGTATGTCAATGAGGTCAAGAACTCATTAGGATTCAGAACAGGAGTAGATGTTTATACGGATATAATTGTGTATATTAAAACATGAAGAAGAACTTTGGAAAGGATAGAAACCTCATGTTTCAGGGCATAAGCTGACCTCTCATAATTGTGGGTCAGGAGGAACCTTCTCTGGGGAGCAGGTTATCTCATAACTCCTACTGCAGGGGTGTCTTTCTCTGAAGCAACAGGTGCCACCCACTGCTGGAGACAGGATACTAGACCTAGATAGGCCGTTAGTCTGATCCAGTCAGATATGTGTTGCCCAGCACACTGCCTGCTGTACAATGTCATGGGGAAGGAGAAGGTTTGACGCAGGGCACTGGGACAAAACACGCCTTGTGCAGCAGAGACTGCCTCAGTTTCGAAGGATGCCTCCAAAATGTCATATCAAGGGGGACCCTGT